ACTGTCTTTTCTGAGTTCATCAATTAGCCCTTTGCCACAGATACCATTAACTTAATGAACCGTTTCTGTAAGGAGAATATTACTTCCCTCTTCCCAAATTAATGAGGCCGCTAATTGTCCTAATTTGCGTCTGAAACCCGAGCATTAAGCTTTCTCTCTCTCTCTTTCTCTCTCTCTCTCTCTCTGCTCACCAGAACCACCTCCGTAGCTCCGGGTGTGAGGGGATAATTACAGAGCGTGGACGGTTTCCAACATCAAGAGGTCCTCTGTTGCCGATGCGCGATGGAGTCAAATAATCCACGCAGAGGAAATGAAAGGGATCTTTAATGAAATAAACCGACAGTGGACCCAGATGCTTCCACTAGGACTCAATCAACTTCACATCATTACCAGCATCCGAAAAATTCTGTTGATAGGAAATAAGATTCTGTTTTGAACTAAACAAAAAAAAAAAAAAATTAAATAAGGTGTCTTTGGTTTGACGTTTCTTGGGGCGGGGGAGGAGGTTTCCACTTATTTATCGCAATTATTACACTTTATAGACTTGTATTTTGCAAATACTTCCAATAAGTTCCAGTATCACTGGAATAATAATTTAATAATATGATGCAACATTATTTTAGGACAGGCTTTAGGTTGCTCTATATACTCATGTGGATTAGAGCTTTCAGCAAGATCAAATACAAAATTAGTCACTTGTGCAATATTAAAGGCACATTTTGACTGTTTTGTGTGGAAAAAAAAAAAAAAAAAAAAAACAAATTTAGTATGAGTTGAGCTTCAAATTGGGCAAAATTGTCTTAAATCAAGCCTAAGAGACAAGAGCACATTTGGGGCCCTGGTGGCTCCCCAGGGAGTTCATTGAGTGGATTTGAGAGCGTCCCCTGAGAAACATCAAGACTGTTTGCTTTGCTTGGCACATCAGCCGCCACACTGTGTTAATAAGTATGATTGCTATTAAAATAACCAGGCCATAAATTTCTATGGGGGGTTTCTTCACATTTTGCCACAAAATAACAAACTTCAGTGCATTCAATTGGAATTGCATGTGAAAAAGTAGCATAAAGAGGCACAGAGGTGGAACATACAGGACACATGCTTTCTTTCTTTTTTTTTTTAAATGGACATTTGAAAAGTGTGCAATACACCTAAATTAAACCCAACCAATTATTTTCAGCACTCACCTAATTAATGAATGGAGTCCATCTGTCGGTTTATTAACCTCAGTGAAAACACACCTGTTCCCTGAAGGCCCTAGGGACTTTTAGAGTATATTAGTTATGAGATGAGGACAAACTGAACTTTTTATTTGCTGTGCAAAAACTCTTATGTGAGACATCAGCCTGCACACTACAACACACAGATAAAGACCTGGCAGCCAATGGTAATCAAAGAATTTTGAACGTCCTAGTCAAAGCCTATAGGCTTGGATACATTTGAGAATTTCTGGCAAGACATTCAGACATTTTGTTTGTCTTTAAAGAAAATACACCAATCTCAAAAAAGTGAAATCTAAAAAAAAAAAAAAAATTCAAAACATTTTGCTTCTACAATTGCTGCTATTGGTCAGATGTTTTTAACAGCAATGAACTCCTTTGGGGTCAAGTCCAAGCCACCGATGCTAAATCCAGCAGCTCCGGTGGTTTGCTGAACAGCAGCCATGGGGGCATTGTGTCGACACAAGTGGGTGCTGCTGTTCTTGGCTGATTAAGGTTTGAATAATGGTTAAGGCTCAGGAAACAAAGCGCCTGGACCGACGCCAGGTTCCATCACTGACATCGTGGGCCAGAGGCAGTCATCTGCAGCTCTCTGGTTGCCAGGCCGGTGACAAGTCGTGTGCAGCCATTGGCGGTAAACGGATGTTGTGAAATTTGCTGAGGGAAATTTGTCCAGCCAGGTTGGACTAACCATGCTGGATAACTCTCATCAGTGATTACCTGGTTGAAATCAGTGGAGCTGGTCAACTCTTTCTGCAGAGAGTCGGGAAAGAAAATCAGTGGAAAAGTGATTACTAGTGAAATCACTTTTTTATTAGAAGTTATGTGTTTTAGGCTATTTGGTGGCATCAGATTCAACTTCTGTTGTTTTCTTTATACAATGTTTATGCATAAATTTTATTTAATCGGACTAAAAAGTAATTTAAGGACATAACGTAATAGATAACTTATTTTTTAACTTTACATATATTTATACAATTGTAAAACATAATTTGGGCTTAAAAGCAAGAATATCTAATATTAAATATATTTATTTCTTAGTCATGATATTTATTTTTGTATTTGCTTGCTTGGCTGAGTAAAAATTAACACACATTTTATTGAGATGACAATTTTAAATAAATAAAATAATCTTGTTAAAACTTTAAATTATTTTAAAAATCACATTTATTTATTCAGTAATTATTTTTGCTACATTGTTTCTGCTGACATATGAATCTTTTGGTTATTTTATAATTTCATTAAAGGCATTAGTATATTTTAAGGTAACTGGAAACAAACTTGGGCCAAGATAATTTTTTAAAGTAGATTAATATTACAATCTATTTATAAATTGAAATCTATACTGCATAGTTGCTGCCCATAAAATGACCAGCCTTCTAATTCACTTGTGAAGCCTATGACTTCACAACTAACTAACCTGTGACTAACCTGCAGCGAGTTAACATGGAGTCCATACTGTCTACCACATCTCAGTGTAAAGTAAAGGCCCCCAGCAGGAGCTGCAGGGCGCTTGAGAGGGTCAGTAGAAGTTGACCTCAGCAATGTTCTTCACACCTCCTCGGCCTGCGCTGCCACTCCTCCGCTCCCGCCCTGCACCAGATGGGAAGTGCAGCCGCATTTTTAAAGCCTGCACGCAGGGTTACAGGCTGTTGTGCTGGCAGTGATGCTGAAGGAATGAAATATTCATGCAGGCCCCCAAATAATACAAAAAAAAAAAAACAACAACAACAAAAAAAACCCTGAATGGACTCCCCAGGAGAAGAACGTGCCGATTTATTCAACTAAGACCAGGCCTCATTAAACTGCTGGCGGCGAGGCAGGTCACGGTGATTTTCACTAACACTGCCCGACCCCGACTGTCTCTCTCACACAGAACTACACAAACACCGACTCCACACACTTCAACAGGGGTTTGGGGGGGTGAAAAGGGCTGAATATAAAGCGTGTCCAAGTCACCATCGCCAGTGTACATGATCTCAGGATCTCCCAGCGGGACAGGTCTGCGCTGGTGCTGAAGCTGCTCCTCTGCAGTAATTGACGCCCTAATGAGTGATTAGCTTCGGAGCGCCGTGGGCAGCATATGGGAGACGTGGGTGACACTGTGTCCACCAGAGGTGCGTGGCTTGTGAGGGGCGCCAGGGGACACCAGCTGATAGGCACAGGGCAGGATCCAAGTTACTAAAACTGAAATTTGTAGCCTAATCAATCATCCTTCAACAACATCTTCATTTTGGCAACAACAACTATAACAGGAACCGGGTTGTTTAATGGTGTAACCACCTCTTTTATGAATGTTTTCGTCCTGCTCTTAAATGATTCATAAATCGCCTTGAGACAACTTATCAGTTATCATGGTTTGGCTGTATAGACAGGTGTGTCTCAGCCTTGTCTCCCACCTGTTCGTTTTATTATTCTTCTGCAAATAATCAGGGAAAGATTGGCCTTTTTTTTTCACTGTTTGTTTGAGCATGCATTTATTCTTCAGATCTCCCTTTCCCTCTCTCAGAGATCAGAGCCAATAGTTAGCCTTATGCTCAGAAAAATACTCAAATTCATTTTAACCATGGCTGATGAGGGTTCATGGTGAATCCAGAAAGGATTGCTGTTCACCAACGTTTAACCCTGTCAATTATTTTAACCACCGTAAGAAGGTTTTTTTGGGTGGTATTAAACATCAGTCATTAAATGGATTTACACTCTTATCAAGGATTTTATATTGTAAATGTAATGTTGATTAGTGGTTGAATCATACCAACTTCAGCACTTTATTTTGATTGCTAATCTTCAAAGGTTCATCAAATTTAACAGAAGATGAAAAGTACTTAATTCTCAGTCATTGTGTGTTGTTACCAGCAGTAAAAATGACATTGATTTTGCGGCTTGTATTATATTTGAAAAATTGCCGTCATATTTGTGATTGAAAAGGTTTCTCTGTTGTACTAAAAATTTGAGCTTGGATCCAGCTTCAGGTGGTTTAGCAGCACCACAAGTCAAACTTACTAGCAAGTTGAGCTTCTTAAACACCTTCATCTGTTGTTGTCAGGGAAAATATTTTCATGCCATCTTGGCACAATAAATTTCTTGATAACTACGCTGAATAATGAAGCAATATTTACTGTTTACTATTTTAAAATACAAGTCAAACTTGATATATTTGATTTTACTCGCTCTTTCTGTGGTGAGTCTTCTGGATATATTACAATACATAATTATTTGAGAACCTTTTTGCCATAAATCTTGCAAAATTTCGACTCAGAATGTTGATTGAGCTCCTTCAAAATAAACTGCTAGGCCAAATGTACTGGGTGAATTATAACAGTTTGTTTGTTTTTCAATGTAGCTCTCGTTTCAGTTCAAGCTCAAAAGTGGTTGTGCATAACGTTGAGTCTTGGCAAGCACACTTGTAACATGGTCTGCATTCAGCCATTAAAATTGTGTTTGCGAAGTTTGCTTTCATTCCAGTAAGAGAGATGTTACACCCAGTTCTTCCTTTATCCAAACTTTCTGGACCTCCAGTGCCAACCACGCTCCTGAATGATTAATACCCCAGCTCCCCTCATGTGTGAGGATAACAACAAGGTCGTGATTGAGTTACAAAGCACAATAGGAGAGGAAAAAAGTCAAGCTTTGTCTGATTGTTCTTTGACAGGGTCAGAGGCTGCTCTCTCCTGAGACAGCAGGGCTGTCACTGGGCAGGGAGTGACAGCAAGGTGACTGAGGGGAGTTCTCTATAAATTGGCGACGCCGAGCAAACCTCTCCAAAAGACGCGGAGAATCCCGTGCGCAATTCCACTGCACTGCACGAGCGCGGGCTGTCACTGACGATGACCGCGAAAGCAGAGCTTCCGGGCTGGCCAGAGTACCCCGAGGACTTCTCCCTGCTGCAGCAGAAAAATCTGGCCCACACCAGCTCCAAAACGTGGATTTCCTCCAATTCGGTCCGCGGCTTTTCGCGCAGGGAAGCGCACGACGCCGCAGAGGCTGGGATTTCACTGGAGAAACTCGGGTCGGTGGGTAGACTCCACGGGTGCGCGTCCGCAGAGACGGGTCACGCGAGGGCATCCGATGGAGACAAGGGGAGCGGCCTGGGGCCTCAGAGACACCGGCGCGTCGCAGCCAACGCCAGGGAGCGCAGGCGGATGCACGGTCTGAACAAAGCCTTTGACGAGCTCAGGAGCGTCATTCCGTCGCTGGAAAACGAGAAGAAGTTGTCTAAGTACGACACCCTGCAGATGGCGCAGATTTACATCACTGAGCTGTCTGAGCTGCTGGCCGGCGTGGTTCAGCAGGAGTCCAGAGGCCCTCGCTCGGGGTCAGAGAAGACGCCCAGGAGGAACTTGATTCACTCGATCCGGCCGGACGCGGCCGCGCAGCCGGCCGTCCTGCTGGCCGGAGAGGAGCAGCAGCAACAGCAGCAGCAGCAGCAGCAGAGAGACCAATCCATCAACCGCCTGATCATCCTGGGACCTTCATCTGTGATGGAGTCCAACACGTCGGAAGCGTCCTCCAGCAGTGACGGAGAATCCTCGAATCTCAGCGACACGGAGGACAGTCAGAGTGGGAGACAGTGACAGACAGAGAAGCAGTTCATCTCTAAGTGGTTCAGTGCGGCAGAGCTGCAGTTTCCTCCGCGCCGTCTCCAATAGATGAGATGCTGCACTGCTGGATTTCAAAAGTGAAGAGAAGTCATTCATTTCTCAGAGATCCCGACTTGGTTTCCTCTCGATGAACTAAGAGAGGCCTTCATCTGCACTTTAAGGTCCTGAACAATAACCTGTGGCATTTTCCAGAGTCTGTGGTTGGAGCCCAGCTTTTAATTTTGAAATAAATCAAGTATTTTTCTATTTAAGAGTAGCTAATCTGTATTTTCTGAGAGAGTTTTTGTTTTTTTGTTTTGCTACAATAAAGATATAATGAATTAATGGGTGTGCATTGTAATTTATTTATGTATCACTTCCAGCAATATGTGCACAATTCATACCAAAGCACAATGATTATTTATGATACAAACTAGTTGATTTATAAGTAAGCTATACATTCCATTGATAAGATAAGAAGACAATGACCCTTTCTGGTGCACAAGTCATTAGGTTAGTAAATACATTGCAATGATATGCATGCATAATAGCTAAGTTTTCACAAATGATACCACATTAATAACCACAAACCAAATTTTTTTTTACTGGGCCTTTTTGTCAAAGACCAACACAAAGAAGAACATGACAGTGCAGAGCAATGATCGATTGTGTTAAATCATTTTCAGTGGTCTGTGACTCTTGTCCTTGGCTGCCACTGTCCTGCAACTTTTTGATGCATCCCCCACTCTAGCTCTTTTCTAAAACTTGCTGGTCCAGGTTTGTTGGAGCAGGGTTGCTTCTAAAAGTTGCAGGCCGGTGGCACTCGACGGCTGGAGTGCAAAGAGAGCTAAACTCAACTCCATGACAAACCTTTATTCTTTTCATTTGGAAAAAAATTTAGAAAATCATGCAACCTTTTCCTTTCGTTTCGCAATGTCGAGGTCCTTCGTGTTGGTCACGTCCCAGTAAATTACATTCAAGTTTCTGGTTTGTAATGTGACAAAATATTAGAGAGCTCAACGCTGTATCAGCTCGAGGTTTTACTGATAAACAGCTGCTTTCTGCTTCACCCGGCCAAGCAAAGTGGCTTTAAAAGATACAACGCTTCTCTGATGTCCAAGCTGCAAAGAATAAAACCAATTATCACATTTCGTTGTTGCAAATCCCCCTCACCTCCTCCTCCAAAAAAAAGGGCAGTTCTAGATCCATTTTCAAAGCACAAAAACATACAAACATCTGCAAGCACCAGAAGCCTGACAGCAGGCGCCCAGTGGAAGGGATTTTCGAGCTGTAAAGAAACTAATTATGGCACGTGACAGTTCATCATGTTTGAAACGGCTCTTCCCAGTCAGTCTGTGAGCTGAAAGCCTACTGTAAAACGTGGGGCTGCCTGCTCAATAGGGAAGAGGAGGCTGGAACTTCGCCAGATCCTTAGAAATGATTTCTGCCAGCCTGTGTTTGAAACTGCCGGGGGTCTCAGACGGGACGGTGGAGCCGATGGCCTCCTCCGGGTCGTCCGTGTCGTCCGCTGCCTGTGCGTTGTACGCCACAAATTCATAGGCATCTGCAGGGGGGAGATGCAGGCTTTGTGGTCGTGCTGAGGCAAAGTGATCCGCATTGGTGAGGGGAAGACAAGAGGGCTCATTTGAATAATGGAGGTCGGAGGAGGAGGAGTAGCGTTTGGTCTCACTGCACATCCACTGAAATTCACCAATCTCAGTTTTTCTCATCAGTGGAGGCGTGGTCTTCCTCAAGTTGTAATAAATGGTGTCCTGTGTGTCGCTATCCTCATCTACAGCTTCAAGGGAATGACACCGATCATCCTCACCCTCGGTTTCCTCTTTCTTCTCCTCCTCCTCGTCCTCCTCTTTGCTTTCCTCTCCCACCTCCTCTTTGCTGCTGGAGAGATAAGGCTGGATAAGGCACATGTGCTTCATACTGTCCTCGGAGGGGAGATCACACGTAGAGTATTGGCTGACAGAACTGTCCTCCTTGTCACAACGAACCCGCACAAGACTGTAGATTGGAGACGCGTCGGTCTGGCCGGCCGTGGCTGGAAGGGCGACAGAGGCCGCGTCAAATGATGACCTTTTCTTGACACCCTGTTTCTTCTGCAGCGAACACTGCCTCGCTAAAGCCTCGAAGATCTGGGGACCGTCACGGGTCAGGAAGGTGAACACTCCCTCTCCTGAATCACAGCGACGGCCCGCTTCGATGCAGAAGCCCTCCTGCAATCAAAATCAAACCAATTCATATTTAGCATATTATTACGAATACTGAAGGGTAACATCGTGTCATGTTACAACCACAATGTTCACTGTTTGGCGTTGGGATTTTATGTGGTCAACACAAAGCAGCTAATAACTACAAAGTGAAGTGTGACATAACATTTTTGAATAAAAAAATCGAAAACGTGTGACCTGCGTTTGTAAGCAGCCCCATTTACTCTGATTGCATTTTTGAATTGAACTGGTCAGCGTAAAATACAATGAAGGCAAAAAATAAAAATAAAATAAAATAGAGTCCAGCTGTGTTTCAGTTTAATTTCAGCTCTTGCATCAGTGGTTCGCAAGACAACGTTAGTGATCCAAAAATACAGCCAGGATAGAAGATGTATTGTTTGCCTCAAACCTTCCTACAATCCTGGTCTGAGAAGACTATACTGGTGCGATAAAAAGGCCCAGTCAAAGTCTAGAATTTTTCACGTCTTGAACAGAGACGTTCAAAGATGTTCTCCACCTAAATTATACGGGCGTGAGTTATTTTTGTGCAAAGCTAGTGGAAACATAACCCCAAAATATTTGCAGGTATAATTGTGATTAAAAAAGTATTGATTGGGAGAGAGGGGAGAATGCAAATGTGTTTTATTTAACTGCCGCAGTTGGTAGCACTGTTGCTTTGCAGCAAGAAGGTCTTGGGTTCGATTCCCGGCCTGGGGTCTTTCTGCATGTTCTCCCTGTGCATGTGTGGGTTCTCTCCGGTCACTCCGGCTTCATCCCCCAGTCCAAAAACATGACTGTCAGGTTAATCGGTCTCTCTAAATTCTCCCTCAGTGTGAGAGTGTGTGTCTGGTTGTTTGTCTTGTCTGCCTCTGCGTTGCCCTGCGACAGACCGGCGACCTGTCCAGGGTGAACCCGCCTCTCACCCAGAACATTAGCTGGACGAGAGGCCAATGCTATACTTTCAGATTATTATTTTAAATTAAAACCATGTCATGTGCTGTTCTTAGTCGTCAAAAAAGTGCATGATTAATTTTGTAGGACATTGTACGTACAAAGACTTCACTGATAATCTTTAGGCATTCAGATGAATTAATGAGGGTCACGACACCTTTACCTCCACTTGTCCAAACTTGCGCAGGAGTCTGTACGGCCAGCTGTAGATGACTCCACCTGTGTTGACATCGAGGAGCTCCAAGGCCTCACTGTCTGTGAACACCACATACTCCCCGGCCAGTTTGCACCTCTTGGCCGCATCCGTGCCCAGAACCTTCACTTTGTGCTGGCCAGGAGGAAGTGTCGGCTCTACACGTCAGAAAACAACCCAGCAGGGAGATTAGGACCGAGCAAATCCAAGAAACTTTTTATAGCAGCTCTTGAGAAGCGGAGTGTCATTAAACGAAACAAGCACACACCACATTCTCAAACAGACAGTCAGATTTAAAATTACTTGCACTCTGCTAATCTCTCCATGCATTTGAGCTACCCGGGTGACTTGGGAATGTAATCCGTTCGGAAATGAAAAGGAAATGCATTTTTATAAGCCGGTACTTGCTGATGCCAAAAGCGTTCGAGCTTTAACGCCTGAACAAATGAGCACACTTAGCTGCTTCTGACGAATAACGCGAGTTTCAGCGAGTTTTAGAACTTATTGTGTTGTTTTTTTGTGTGTGTCTGGTCGTCATACATTTATTTAGAAAGTGATAACTAGTTTGACACTAATCATCCAGGTATTTATACTACATTACAGTGAAGAGATGGTGAGAGCTAGACTTCCTGGTGTTTGTAAAAAGTATCTGTTTATCTAAGCAAAAGTTCAATCTTTCAAAAGAGAGAGTACTGAAGAGTTTTTAAGGTTAAAGGACAATAATCCGTTTTATGATTTTGATGATGATATTGTACTGTACTTGGGTGAGAACAGTTTGTGGGGCGGACTAAAGATAAAGGGGAAGGTGTTTTACACTTGTTTACGATGAGAGGTGTTGCACTTCTTGTTGCTCAGTTCAACTTCTTGGGATGTTTTTAGCGCACATGCAGATTGGGAAGGAAACCACCATCTTCTTTTGTTATTTCCTTTCTAACCAAAAGAAAACACATTGTCTCTAAATTCAGATCTAGGTTTTAGGCCATAACAAGAGATTATATGGTTTTGAGGTGTGGAAAAAACATCCAGCAGCTTCAAAAGAGTCATAATTGATGAAACTAAGAGAAAGGTGATGGGGGTGGGAAAAGATCTGCATGAAAAGCTCCACCCCATGATTAACAGTAGCTTGAAATTGTTGTTTCCTGTGTGATTTTATCAGTCACTCATGTCACTGAGGATGGGTTTTGGCCAACTCTTCTGCACAGCTACTTTAGTTCATTGGGGTTTCAATTAGTTTGAGCCCTTGACTTTAAGTAGGCCATTGCAATGCCTTTATGTTGTTCTTTTGGGCATACTCTGCTGCAGATTTGCTGATGTGTTTACAATTTCTGTCCTGTTATTTGGAGCTAGCTTTAGTTTAGGGGTTTAATTTCACTCTTGAAAGCTTTGGGTAACAAAACGCTTGTGGTCATCTTGGTGACTCCGAGGGACCCGGACCTCGTGGCCCCAAAACACGCCCTCTTCCTCTCTTCCTCACTGGTTAGTATGAGGTGTTTGTGCTGATATTGTGATTGGTTTCCTCTAAATATAGTGTAGGTTATTGTGGCCAAACATCACAAAAAAAAAAATTGTTTCATCAGATGCCGTTTTGCTGAACAAAGTCATGCTTTCTCATGGGAAAAAAAAAACTTTCAAAGAAGACAGTTTTTTTCTAATTCTCATCATCATGACCTCTCACAACTAACAAGCCAAAAAAGCTCATCAATCACAGGTTTTTTTTTGTTTGTTTGCTTTTAGTATTTTTTCCGAGCACCCTCTGGCAATGATCTTGAATATAATCGTTTTTCTCAATAAAAACTGATGGAGTTTTCAAAAAATGACCTAATAACCATGTTTACATCAATTCCCTCTCTAACGTCATTGCTGGTGTCTGCTTGGCATCATGCTAACACACTGGCAGCACTTCCTGCTTTCACACAAGTGGTCACACTTAACCCTCTCCAGGCAGGGGTTGCAGATTTGCAACAACTTAAACAGTCTTTTCAAGTAACTTGAGCCTGAGAGGGTTAATGATGATCAAGTTCAGAAGCAGTAGGGCTGTGGTAAGATTTTTGAACACAGTTTTCATATGTTGGTTCTGTTTTTCTTCGCTGTGTAACAGTGTTGTGGAAACCATTTTCTATTTCATTCATTTATAGGCAGAGCACCGAATCATTTTAGAACCTGGCAAAGTTTAGGTTCTTGTTATTTTGTGATGATTCTTATGATCTTTGTCACTATGAATGTACGCTAATAAATTCACAGTGGAAATTCCCTGCCTGAAAGTATTTAAAATGAAAGGCAAGGTGATATTTTAGACTTTCTTGTTTATCCTGAGTAAAAATGCAGTATTACTCTTCGCTCTGCTGTTTCATTTTCTGAATAAAGCACATCTTCCAGTTTTTCAGCAGGAGTCTGCTGATGCATAGCAATACATCATCAATTAGCAGAAACAGTGCAGTGTTGAGCTCATCCTACTGGATGAATGCTGCAAATGATGGGAATTACCGCTTTTCCAAGACGAGTAAAGGTCATTATCCTCCATGGTCAGGCCATTCGCTTCCTCAAAATCCCCTTTCTCTGAGTCTCCAGGATCCCTCTGTAAACACGGTGGCACAGTAAACATTACACAGAGTAAACGCCTCCCTCTTATCACTGCTTTTTATGACTTCAGAGTGGTAAGATGGAAGCAAGAACATGGCTTGTGCAAGCACAAGAATTGGAGAAGTGGCAGAAGTTCCAGATAATGTTTCAACTTCCCCATGTTCTTATCATGTCTGGCTGTGGGGGTGGGGGGTTCTGAGCATTTTTCCCAAATTGTGACGAGGAGACGCCTGATACCTGGAAGGCAAGACTGCAGAGAGCACTGATCCAGCCCTGGCTCTCCACGGAGGCGAAGGTGTAGGTGTGCTGTGTGGTGTTCAGGTAGAAGGCCGTGCAGTGAGCCGGGCACGACTCCTTGGCAGCAGGGGTGACGCTCAGACAGTCGCTTAAGCGCACAACCTTTTTCTCTTGTGTCTTCTGTCGGCCGGCCTTTAGCTGCTCACTGTTGGACATAGAGCGGAACTCCAGCCGACCCACACCCATGGAGCTGGGTTTGTAAAGCACCATCCAGATTTTCCGCCATGTTTTCTGACAAGAAAAGAAAGGAGACTTTATTTTTCTTTTTTTTTTATTGGCGACAGATTTTGAAAGTGGGAGCCAGAAGGCAAAATAATGCTAGAGCTGTCATTTAAACTCTAAAAATGACTTTTTTGCTTGTCTAGTCTAAATTACTTACTTACCTGCCAACAAAACAAACAAACAATGGATCTGATAAGGCTATGGCCCCATGTTAAAAGTTCAGATTTCTAAACTTCAAACACTGAGACCATTAATGTGAGATACATCATGGAATGTTTCAACATTCAACATCTGAACTTTGTTTGCTCACTCGTCTGAAAAAGTCTCCCAACTCTCTCAGATTGGGTGGACATCTCTTGTCCACAGCGATCAAGTCATCTCATGTATTTGCTCTTGGATTTAGGTTTGTTCTCTGGGACGGCGTTCAAAAAACTCGCCTCCTTTTTTCATTTTTTTGCTGAAAACATATATTGTCGCCGATTTCAATGTTTGCCTGGACTCACAGTGATGCAGCAAACGAAGCCCCTCTTCACTTTCAGATTTCTATGAGACACCTGGAAGTTCGGGGTCCAAACTGGCTCGTCATTCAAACTGTTTATGAATTCACCCGGGTTCAGTCAGAAGAGAGATAACTCCAGGTCACGACGCTGCCATCACCACTTTTCACAGCGCTTATGATCTACTGTTTGGTGACGCGCAATGCTTTTTGCAACCCTTCTTCTGATCTGCATCTTCTAGTGATATTGTCATGCAGTGAAGGTTTTTTTTTTTTTTCTTAATCGTTTGCGACCTCTCTCCAGAGTTAAGTAAAGGATGCAAACAAACAAAAGATCAGGAAACTCTGGCTCATCACAATCACGCAAGTTGTGCCGTTCGAACTCAGGAAAACTCAAAGCTGAAATTAATCAAAAATTGCTTTTGCTTCAGAAAGTGTGCATACTTCTAAAAGATTTGACTGTCATATTGCAATATTACTGACAAGTTTATTTATTTCAGTAACTCCATACATTATGGAGATGAGTTGCACGAATTGATGATTTTAAGGCTTTTAATGCCGACAGTAGTGAGGATTTTCCATGTACAAATTAAAACACATTAATGATTAGAATTTCATTAGACTAACATTAAAAATACGTTCAATTCAGAAACGTATACTTAATGAAGGCTGTGCTTAATGCCTGATTTAAAGTTATTTTTCAAGTAATCAGACAAGCAGAATCAGTATCACAATTTGAGGATGATCGCACGTCACATCAAACGTGGAAAACGTTAAAATTCTTTCTTAAGCCTGGAAGACAGGATTCAAACAGGGCAGTGAAGACGTTTATTGGCCCCAGCATCAGTTTAAAACTACATCTCCATCCAGCATGACGCTGCATGATTTTAAGCAGGTATGGGGAAGTCGGTGAGCGTTAATCGAAAGATGGATGAAGCTAAATTCTAAAAAAAACTCAAATAGAATTACATGGACCTTTACGTAATTGTTGTTTAAGACTGAGCTCAATGCCAGAGTGTGTGATTGGGTGTGTGTGCGGCGACAGAATGTGTGTTTGCACTGTTCGTACAGGAAGCGTGATTAACAGGTAAACCACCGGCTGTTGTTTGAACACATCTTGATAATCCTCATCGTACTCACAGAGCTGAAGTGAAAACTAAAGTCAAAAGTTTACAGGTGACACATGGTTTCTGTTACAAAGACCAGAACGGAAAGCCTCACTTATCACCACCTACACCTCTGGTGTAGAACCTGAAACTGATTTTAGGAACCTTTCTTTGCATTGTAGTTTGTTCTGTTTTGCATTTTCTGAACGAGTCTTATTTGAGTTAGTCTGGATTTTGTGTTGTAACACTTCTTCTCATGGTTGAGTCTGCAGGATGGAATTATACCAAATTTCTGACATATCCATGAGGCCTCACACACTGCAGAAAGCAGAAGTGACCTTAATAGTAGGGGTCAAAAAAAGAAGGTGCGAAAGTGTATCTAAAAGCATCAGTTTTTAACAGGCAGCTCATTATTTCCTCTCGGCAACTTCTGGAAAACCAAATTTAGACCTTGCAAAACAATACTGTAAAAACTTGCACTCTGCTAAGTGTTTCTGGCCATCAGACCATTTTAACAAACTTCTAGTTGCGTTTGGTGCCATAATCAGGTTAGATTTAATTCATAGTGACAGTCCTTTACTTTTCAGACATTTTCCCAAAAGCAGCGAACATTTTCACTTACTCCCAAAGAAGCAGCAAGTTTCATGTTTTTACAGCAAAGCACTGATCTGAGAAAACCCACATTTGAACTGTAGTAAGACAAACATTTACTGCTTTTCTTCTAAGTCATCTGTTCAGTTATCATGTATTTATATTTGTCTTTTTTTTTTTTTTTAATCAACCAAAAGTAAGTTCAGTCAGGTCTTTAAAAGAACTTGGTATCATACTACAAACTAAGGTAGTAAATTAAACTCTGACTTAAAATAAATAAGTTGGGCAACTGGAAGGACTGATCCGATTTAGATTTAAGCTTACATGCAGAACCGGGAAGGGAATGATTTGAATAACGCAAAGAACGTGTAAATGACTGGATCAGCTCCTCTACAGGCATCGATCGGATGCTGCTGTGGGCTCTTCCCCTTTCAAATTTCTTTGAAATCAAATGGCGTCTCACTTTGGGGGGGAAACACAGCAATGACAAGGTAGTATTAGGAGAGTTCCTCTTGCATGTGTATTTTTGATTAGAAATTTCCAAGAACCATAGAAACACCCCCAACGTTGAACAAATGCTGCACAGCACAGTCAGAAGAGATGTTCTTCACTCTGATATGGTTGAAAAATGTAATGTTTGAACAGGCATAGACAATGGATGGCTGGAACAGGAGCGTTTTCTTCATTTGGTTCCATCTGGTTAGCTTAAAAAATACATATATATAATTTTTATATAATTCTTATGACTTGTATAGTGTGAGAAGCTCTCACACTGTGCACCACATGTTATAAATCTTTTTTCCACTTGGTGCACTAAAGCACTGTAATGTGAAAACCACAAACACAGTGTAGCTCCAAACTGCTGTCGCTCTCTGAGCCACATCAGCTAATCAAATGATCGTTTCATTTTATTAAAAAGTAACAATTTAATCTACCAAACGCATGAGAAAAATGCAAGATAAAAGTTGGAGCATTAGCTGCCACTAAAGCCGATCTCTGCTCCAGATTTTTACAGATCCATATTTGCTGGTTTACAATGAAATGCCATTTCCCCTGTTAAAAGGTTCATTGCTTTACTGATTGAAAGAAAACGCTTTTTAGAGAAACTTGTTTTAAAGCTACTTCATTTATTTCTGTAAATTTCTTTAAATGTCATTTTCATTCTTACTTTTCAGTTACTTTATATCTCAAAATACTGCAATTATTTTCGTTACTTCCCTCCTGTGACTTGGTTTTCTGTGGGAGTATTTTAAACTTTAGTCTGAAAAGTCAAAGCTTCACCACACCTTTAAAAATCTAAAGATTGCATGAAATAAATATTTTAAGGCTACATAAAATATTTTACTTGATGTTTTGGAACAAAAATCCCATAACATTCATATCATTGATGAAATGACCAAATGAGGTCAAAGGTCACTCAGCACATTGAGAACGTGACATCTGCTGGATGTGGCATTGAATCTTTATGCATCTAAAATATTTCTGAACTCTCCATTAACCATTCTTTGTTAGGTTATGTACCTATTATATTTGTCTTATTTTTATACGTTTAAATAGCCCATATTTGTGTAATTTAGACTATGCAGTAAAACCTACATTTTCATTAACATAACCAACATAAAATGTATTAATTCATAAATATAATGTGTTAGGGAGGTCCAAGGATTGAAAAGAATGTACTTATTTTGCAAGAAAAAAATTGGGATTAAACAGGTTAAGTACAGTAACGAAGTATTTGTACTTCGTCACATCTCACTTTCGCCAAAAAGCAGAAACAGAAGAAATGTGTAAGAGGAGCTGAGGGACTGGTTCATTTTTTTTTTCCTTTGCACTGCAGACATGTGAATAAATACACAATTCTGTATGTGGGTGTTGAATTCTAAATTTACTGAACTTGGTGTACTATTTTCATGTGGCTGCAGCAGTTTTTTTTAATTTTTTTAATGATTTTATTTTGGACGTCTATTTATTACGATTGAGGAAGCTGAAATGGAACTTAGAACGCCGCTTCTGTAGAAATGCCAAGTATTATTTTATCACTCATTTAGCCTCTAAATCCTACTAAGAAAAAAAAATCATACAGGTAATCATGAGTTTTCACATTGGCCCATTATTACTGCAGAAAAGTGACAGAGACCATTCTGTTCGTATCAATCTAGTTCGAAATATTTGGAGAAGTTTATCTATGAGAGGACTAATAACCTGATAGCATTACTGACATCTATATTATTTTTAAAATAATCTCAAAAAATAGAACACTGTGCCGTAACACACAGCACAAACGACAATACTGTGAGAGCGCTCTTCTGCTGCAGCACCATGTCCGTTTGAACTTTCTCTACCTTTTCTAAGAACTGGACACTCAACTGTTTAGCTGTGCAATAAAACGAAAGCAGAGTTTTTCTCATCGTTTATCGTGGCAAAAAACTCAACTTACTTTTCCAAACTTGGCCCCTTGAAGATGCAGCATCCCTTCTTTGAAAATGACCTCCATGCTCGTACGCTTTGGATGAAAACTGTTCACACGCTGACAGCAGTTGTTGCGATGTGGCGAAAAATGTGACAAGTGATGAGGTTAAAATTAGGCCTCGTCGACCACAAGTCTGACTTTTTCCTTGACGTCATGAACTGCTGTCATACTGCCGTCGACCTGTGCCCCCGGTTAAAGGAAGAGTTTTAAAAATCATCATATGCAACCCGTTACAAAAGAAAAGACACACAAGTTGTGTGTGCTGCTGTTTTCTTGAGTCCAACTTCCCTTTGAATTCTTTTGCAACCACATCAACTTCCTCGTAGAGAAACTCACGACACTTCTTCAATTTTGTACATAATACAAAAAGATCATATGAAATATAAAGATTTTATTTACAGGTCAGATGATACTAGCAGTATTTAAAAACAACAACATATTCACAGCAAGTAACTTAACAGGAAAAGAAGCAAACAATCACTTTTGTCCAACAGACCTAGAGGAGGAAGATAAAATAAACTTCCTCAATTCAGAGACATTACATGTCAGTGTAAAGTTTCCACAGAAATATTTTTACCTCCATCACTTGCATTTTGTAAAAAAAAAAAACGTAACAAAAGCAGCATTTAAAAGTCCATCGAGCTATGAGCCAGGTAGTCTTTCCGACCGATGTTGGTGACCTGCTTGGTCTGCATGGCCTCCAGCTTGGGACAGTCGGTAATACGATGGCCGAGACCACCGCAGAACGTGCAGCCTCTCTCCCCTGGGAAGACACAGCAGCAGGACGTGTCAGGATAAACCCGCTTAAGCCGCACGGCGGAGTGAGGTGGTATGGGTTCAGGAATGTCACAACAAAGTAGCTCACCTCCGATGTCCAGCATGGTCTCGTCGCCCGTCTGGAGCACCTGGAGGACCGGGGGAACCTTCTGTTTGGCTTCAACCAGCAGAGCTTTCAGGTCCATCAGCACAGACTCGTCTGTTAGGAGAGACGAGACGAACGCTGCTGAGTTCAACGGGGAAGAGGCCAGCTAAAGTCACAAGTTCTTGTCCCCTGAAGTCTAGCTGGTTTCACCCTGCAGTTAGCTTTTATCAACTCTTCCATGTTGGTACAATACTTATGTACTGTACTTAAATACAGTTTTTGGAGCATTTATACTTTATTTGAGAAGCATTTCTTTGTAAATCTTACTACATTTACTTAATATACTTATTCTTCCACCATACTGGTCTAATACTCATTACTTCTCTCGACCGCGTTTGAGTAGTTTGCGTCTATTTTGTTCTACTAAAACGTGAAAATACAAATCTAACATTAAAATAGAGCCAACATACAGGAACTAGCCAGCTGGTATTTTGCATTTGGTGAATGCCATTTGAGTTTACTTTTGGAGCTTCATTTTCTAAAATGTGTTGCGGTGAAGAGATTTAATTCGTTTACCGTCATCAAGCATTTCCTCACACATAGTGTACAGAAAATAGTCGCTTGAGCTGCAGAGTTGGGTGGTTTTTAATGTCTGAATCCAGTAGCCACTTGAGGCCTAACGTGCTAAGACGGATGAAGACTTGGTCAGGATGATTATGCAGCACTTCCATTAGGCATTATCACTGTATCTTGTGTACAGTTTGTCACTTTTTTTCAAGATGCAGTGACATTGTAGCATTGAAGTTTACATACACCGAATAAAAGCAAAGAAACACATTTTTTCTTACTGTCTGACACTGAATTTAAACCAGGCTTATTTTAGCTCAGCCTGACCAGACCTATTTCTACTTACCAACAGCCACAATAGTGGATAAAAAGAATGTGTGAGATTTATTTACTGATGTCTTTAGAATCAGAAGTTAACATACCGAAAGATTACTGTTTCTTTAAGCAACAAGAGAAGGCCCCGATGACAATGTCATGGATTTGGAAATTTCTGGTTCATCCTTGGGAATTATTTCTAGATGCTTCCAGGTGTTGCATTCATCCGTTCAAAGTGTTATACACAAGTACAGACGTGGTGGGAACGTCCAACCATCACACTGCTCATGTTTGGTCCACAATGTGCAAATTGACCCCAGAATTAAAGCCAAAAACCTTGTGAAGCTGAACCTGGTAAGACAGTGTCATTCTCCGCAGTGAAATGTGTTCTGTACTTACAGACAGGGACTGAAAGGCCCCTCAGCGAGAAAGAAGACTTTACTTCAAAAGAAACTTAAAAAGCCAGACTGCAGTTTGCAGATGGACACGGGGACATTTTAGAGACGTGCCCTGTGATCTGATGACACCAAAGTGGACATGTTTAGCCGTAATGACATCCAGAAGAAAAAACAGGGGAATTGCTTGTATCATTCTCACTGTGAACTATGATGTGGGGCCGTTTTGTTGCAGAAAGAACTGAATTTCATAAAATAGATGGCTGTATGAAGAAAGACCATAACGTGGAAATATTAAAGCGACAACTACAGACATCATCCAGGAAGTTAAAACTTGGGTGCAGATTAACCTTCCAAATGAACAACAACATTGAGCAAACAGACAAAAGTGGCTTAAGGTCAACAAAGGCAATGTTTTGACGTGGCCACCACAAAGTCCAGACCTCAGTCCTATGGAGAAGTTGTGGGAAGATCTAAAAAGACAAGTGTGAGTGAGGCGGCCTACGAAATGGACTCAGTTACACCTGAGAGGGAAGAAAACTCCAAAGGTTTGAAGTCAGATGCTACCAAACACTTTAAACATCTGACTTTAAAGACATTAAGACATTTCTGGCACACTTTTGCTCTAATTTTTTGTGACATTTAGCAAATACAAAATAATTTGCTAAATAACGTTATGGAGCAGTGAAAATTATAATTTGCTTTCAAAATATTAAAAGTTTTGAAACTTCTTTGCTAAAGTGTCTGACACAAATACAAAGTGTGATTTGTAATATCTGCAGCAAAGTAAAAGTGAAGGCACAACAATTTTGAGGATGAATAACTTGGATTAAAAAAGTAATGTTTTCTCACCACAGCCCTTATTGATGAACGTTGTGGCGATACCGGTCTTGCCTGATCGTCCGGTTCTTCCTATTCTGTGGACTAAAACAACAAAAAAATTGATGGAGGCATTAGAGAAGTCCACAGTGACAATCTGGTGCAGTTTAGATTTATTTATCAACATATATCCTCTTTACCGTAGTTTTCTATCTCCTCAGGCATGTCGTAGTTCACTACATGCTGAATAGCTGGAAAATCGAGACCTTTAGATGCAACGTCTGTGGCAACCAAAACGTCTTTCTTCCCTTCTTTGAACGCTTCTATGGCTTTAGTTCTTTCTTCCTGATCTGCAAAAAGAATCAACAAATAAAACTTTAGTTTTGACACCTGATTAGTGACTGCTTGACAGAACTTTGTGACATCTGCGATAAGGGCGACATCTGCTGGTATTAATGAGAAGATACAAGCAGATTTTAGAAGAAAATCTCATGCAGGGTTGAACGCTCCTTCATTCACCATTTTTGTCTCCTGATAGCTTTGCAGAGTAGCATCAACATAATTCTGCATACCTTTTCCTCCATGTATGGCGACCGCCTCCACTCCCTTAAGCAACAAATATTCATGGATGGCGTCCACGTCAGCCTTTTTCTCAGCAAATATCAACACCTGTCAAAACAAACAGTGACTTCACATTTATTCACTCATTTTGTCAGGATGTTTGCACAGTAAATTGAGATTCTTACTGGAGGCGGGGTTTTCTGGAGGCACTCCAGCAGGTACACCATCTTGGCCTCCTCTTTGACATATTCCACTTCCTGCATTGGGGAAAAAAAATAAGCTCATGAAAATCCTTAAGATGAAATCTATGAGTAAGATTTGAGAAGCTTTACAGCGACACAGAAAAACCTACCTGGATTACATCCAAGCTTGCAGCTCCGGCTCTGCCCACGTTGATAGTGACCGGTTTGACCAGAGCACTCTTGGCAAAGTTCTGGATCTTCTTCGGCATAGTAGCACTGAAAAGTAGGGTCTGCCTTTGTCCCTAGAAAACATGGACAAAAGTCACACACAAAGTCAGGAAGGCTGTTTTTTTGTTTTACAGATGGAGAAAATAGTCTGCATGAACAGATTGAGTGCAGCAGCTGGAACACACAACGTGGCAAATTCTGGATGACTAATTTCACTTCCTCTGAGAGCTTTAGGAGTGTGAGAAAAATTAGCAATAAAACACAAAGAAAAAAGAAAATCTGGAAAAATCCAGAATGAAAACACAATTTAGGAAAAACAAAGTTTACTCCACAGAAATGTCACCAGAAAGCACTTTTTTAATGTTGCTACATAAAAAAAAAAAAAAACTTTTATTCAGTGATTAAATTATACAATTAGCAATCAGCACTGAAACATGAACGTGAAAACTGCAACAACAGCACTGTGATGTGTGTATTGAAAAATAAACACTCCAGATTTGACCACTCGCTTACTTAAACTACACTTGCTCACGTCACTTCAAAATGGCCTAAAATCACCTTTTAGCTCCAGCCAAAACAGTCATTTTTTTCCACACAACTCCAAAATGTGACTAGTTTAATGATCCTGACAAGTGTTGCGATCAAAAAAGGCTTTGTCTGAGAACTTGTTACTGTATCAAGTATTTCATAAATAACTTAAGAAACCAGGGATGGTACATCCAGAAAGTATTTACAGCAATTCACTTTTCCCATGTTTTATGTTCCAGTCTTATTTCAATTTGCACCGAATGAATGTCTTTCCTCGAAATTCTACTACATTAGGCCACAATATTCATTTAACTTTTCTTTTCCACAAAACCCCATTCCTTTTAATCCGTTAGGAGCCCAAGACCAGTCCTCGAAAACCACTGTTCTGCAACTTTTAGACACATCCTTTGTCCAACACAGTTGAATCAAATGACTGAATTCCCTCCTCAGCAGCCATTTGTCCCAGTTGAGGCCTGGCAACGTGCCAGCCATTTAATTCAGGTGTGCTTGAGAATGGATGCATCTGAAAGTTGCAGGGAAGTGGTTCTCTGGACACTCCTGATAACAACATGTTGATGGCCCATTTCCCAGCATCGCTTATGTACACCACAAGTGCCTCACCTTAAAATAGGAAAATATGGTCCGGATGTCTTCTTCGAACCCCATGTCAATCATCCTGTCTGCTTCATCCAGAGCCAAGTAGCGGCAAATGTCAAGACTGACCATCTTCTTTTGTAGCAGGTCCATCAATCTTCCAGGGGTGGCGACCATCATGTGGACGCCACTGAAAACAATACGACAAAAAATAAATAAGTAAATCCTCACATACAGGTAAGCTAGTCTGCTTTTTGACGTTACACTTTGACACGGTTCATAGGAACCCCTTCTTGAGTGCCTGTGTTTGTCTCAGAATGACGTAGCTGAACACTTCCAAATGGCACAGTGAACAGATTTTTCACCGCTGAACAAGCCAATCAATCTTACTTACTGTTTCACCACCTCCATCTGCTCCTTGACAGACATTCCTCCGATGCAGAGGGCTGTGCGCAGCTGAGGAGCTCCTTCCTCTTCCAGCAGCTTGCAGTAATACTCTATGATGCCATGAGTCTGCCTCGCCAACTCTCGCTGTGGGGGGGGGGGGTTGCAGATGTTTTATTGTATGACAAGTAGAAGATTTTCCATTGCTTATGTAATTGAGGTTTAAAACTGAAAAAAAATACGAGGGGACTAAGATGTGCAGCAAATTTTGGTCTGAACAAATCAGAATAGTAGAGATGCATTGTTGAAGCACTTTGAAATGCCTTGCTGCTGAAATGTGCTATATAAATAAAATTTAATTGATTTTGATTCAGGTGTTTCCTAATTGATTCAGATACCTTTCTTTTCCAGGTGTTTCAGCTGTTGATTACAATTTATCTTTTCAAAATAACTTTTCATGTTTGAAAGCATGCGGTTCTTTCACATAAATACCAGAATGTAAAATGTAACCAGTTAAAGTATGACAATATTATTACAATATAAACTCTCTGAAATTAAACCTAACAATTATTTAGACTCAACACATTCATCTTCTGTTATTTCTGAATAATTTCTACTCACTTTTATAATGGAGAAAATGTCAAAAGTTATCAAAATCCATTATTGTTTTACTTCCATTCAACTTTATTTGTCTGCGACAATACAGAGGGCACATTTCCAATGAAGTTATTATTTAATAGGCAATTTGCCAAAATTTTTGAAGTCATATAATCAACCGATGTTTGTCAAGTAAAAGGTCAAATATCTATCTCGTTTCTTCAAGAAAAAAATAAATAATAATTTTAAAAAAAGAGTCTGGCACGTCTTACTGAGGGACAGATGATGAGTCCATATGGTCCCTCTCTCTTGAAAAAAGGCAAACGTTTCTCCTGCTCAAGGGCAAACATGATGATTGGCAGAGTGAAGACCAAAGTCTTTCCTGATCCCGTGAAGGCGATGCCAATCATGTCTCGACCTGATAGACTGCACACAAGCACTGTCGATTCATGAACAGTTTTACATGCACTAAATCCTAACAGAGATCATCACATCACTTACACCGTGGGGATTCCTTGTATCTGAATTGGGGTTGGATGGACAATCCCCTTCTTTTTTAAACCTTTTAGAATTGCTGCAAATGTAAAAATAGAACTATGTTAACAGGAGAGACATGAAGCCACAGAATGCAGTTTAAACATGTGAGGTGTCGACTGGCGTTACCTGGCGGAAACTTCATCTCCCTGAAGCTTTTGATGGGAGCGGGGATGCCTTCTCCGTCCACCAGAATGTGGAATTTCTTCCTGACTCGCTCATGTCTTGTGTTTGGCATATTTAGGATGTATCGTGGTGCCTTCCAGCTACGAATGAATATGAATCAGTTTAATGAGTCCTCACCACCAAATAAGTGAAGTCCAACAAACACAAAAAAAGCTTAATTACGTAAAGCATCACCTTGTTTTAATTGGGTCATCGTATATGATACCTTTGGCCATTTCCTTTACAGACATCAGAGCTAGAAGAAAAGATTTAAGTTTGTGCAATTAGTTCTGTCATCTACACATTTCTCAATTTCACTACTGAATTCTCTGACTTCTGAGTGTTGTGTTAATGTACCTCTGCCCTCAGCCACGCTTTCCAGAATCTTCTCTTCCTCCTTCAGCTGTTTCTCTTTTGCAGACTCCTTACGGGCTGCGTACACAGACAAGTAAAACTGTTACAGATCCCTTAACATAAAGACAGAAAACAGAGACAAGTGTTGTAGCATGGAGAAGCTCTGCTCTGTACCTTCTGCTTTCTCCTTGAGGTGTTGATGTTGGTCGAGAAGACTAACATTGGAGCGTGGACCAAGGCCCTCCTCTTCATCCCTTTGTTCCTCTCCGCTATCCTTCTGCTCCTCATCTACGGCCTTTCCACGCAGCCTTAGCATCTTCTGGAGCTGTAAACATTCAAAAAGCTTGACTACATACTAACTTAAAGTACAACTGCACAACATAAAGTTAAGTAACTCAAAATATTAAAGGCCAAACAAACCCTTAATATTCACTTATCCGACTTTGACAAAGAAAATTATTTTTCTTCCCCAAGATTCAGATTATTAGTAATAATGAAGTAAAAAGATTAAAACTATTGGTGTGTGGTTTCATATAGGAATCAATGTAAGGGGGGAAAAGGATTTAATAAATATTAAGAAAATAAGTTAATGTAAATTCATTTGGTCACGTGGAATAACATTAAATTTGCAGACAGACTTGTCATTTCTTTGTTTCGTATCATTACTAATGCAAGATAACTCACCATTTGTTGTTTCCTGATTTTGACTGGGACATATGGGACATAATCATCATCCTCCGATCCTTCTGAGCCAGACTTTTCTTCACCTCCATGTGATCTCTGGAAAAAAAAAACAAATGACAGACGCCATGATAATTCAAAAATCATATTCTGAGAAAAAATAGTAAAAGTGCATTGTGGCTGAATGATTCATTTTTTAATATAGTTGTTCGTAGTGCCCCTAATTTTTGTAATTAAAGCTGGTACCACGGACACCAACATTCAAGCCTCCTAGAAATGCTCTGATGCAGATACGCATTTCAGTTTTAAATTACATTAAAATAGAAGACAGATAATCTTATAGCCTTCTAAAAGCCAAAATTGCATACATCGCGCGGCTAGTTCACTTTGCGAGGCCCGTGTTGATATAGTTTTAATATCTGCACCATAATACAAACATTTATTTTTACACTTTCTGCGTGTTTTTATTTACATTTAAATATATTATTTTATGTGAAATTATGCGACACTTTCACTGATAAAAAAACAACAAAACTGTTAGCATTTTTATATTAGCTTTTCTTAGCTAGCTTCACCCGTTTATCATCCGTAGTTTGGTCTTAACTTACCTTTAGAGTCCGATTTTCGGCCTCCATTTTATTTAATATTTACGTAACTTTATTCTGTATATATTATAAGTTAGCTACAGATCACAATACAGCAACTTAATTCAACATATCAACTCCTCCTGTTTATACAACAGAAGCTGCTAATGTACGGAACGCTAGGAGGGTCAGACCAACCGGAGCCACATCTTGCAAACAGGCGAGACAGCGGTACGGGTACAGATATGAGCCAAAATTAAAAAAAGATGAATACCACACCTGATTTTGTCAAAACTGTATTGTTTTAATCTTTCCGAACGAAAGATTTTTTTTCACAGTATCAAAAGTGAATTAAAAAAAGAAACAAGCCAACATACACTTGGCTGTTATTGGTATAGTATAAATCTACATTCGAAACATTAAGGTAATCTTTTCTAGTCGAGTATAACCTGGAAAGCATCAGAGATGTTACATTAAAAACAGAATTTCAGCACAGATCTAGAATAATAATAAAAAAAATCATCAATCTTCATGAAAGCCATCAGGCAAAAACATTGATACCGGTGTAAAGCCAAAGGCTTGTGTCCTAAAGGTCTGTTTCTATTATTTTTGCCAAGAAAACACTTGGGAGGAGAGCATCAAGTTAACAGTACAGGTCAGAGCATTATGGATGAAAAATGAAGCTCACACATATACACAAACAACCCTCAGGAAGGTAAGAAAAAGACTCGAAGGGGCCAAAAATATTCACTCAATATGTACAAGCATTTAAATTAACTGCAACAAACCATGTGTTTCCAACGTTGGAGTGAACATTGCACAGTGCGCTGCCAAGCAGGGGCTGAGATAGCAGTTTAGAGAATAAGCACTTCATGGCAAAAGGGGTTTCTTCAACACATAGTCTCAGAGTGTATTGGATATCGTAGTTCTTCATAACTAACACCAAAGAGGGGCCGACACTGAAGCAACACAATTTTTCAATACAAGATAGGAGCAAAGAGTGTAGTTCCTTTTCATCATGCACAGGGATGCATCTGCAGGGGGGACTGATAGAAATCACATTTATCATGCATCCCATCGGCCAAATGTAAAAAAAAAAAAAAAAAAAACCTAATTTAATAAGTGACAACATGAATATTATTAGTGTTGCTCTCATATCTATTGTTTAAAAAAAAAACATGCTGTATTAGTTTTTTTCAGTTTCATAAGAAAGTCTAGCAGGTAGGTCAAGTGAAAGGTAGATTGTTGATCGTAATCAAGTGTAGGAACAAAGTATCCAATTCAGTGCCAGGACTGACTTCAGTCTTTTTGAGAATAAAAGCGGCAAATCCTGTTATAACTGTAACTTAGGATGGTAGCTGTGTTTTCTTAATATTAGTTCAAAATATTATATTGTGCTCCATTCTGACAACTGTACATTATTAGCATATTTGGATTAGACTGCAGGTTGTGATGGATGATGAGCACCAATTCCATTTGACTTCATCGTAATTCATCAGTTTAACAACGTTAAAATTTCGCAGATTTGTGATAAAACCATTTATTTCATGTAATTGTTTACATACTACATATGTAAGCACATGGATGCAGTTAAATCAACAGACTTTTTTCTGTTTCTGTAAAACTCATTCAGTTCACGTTGCAATCATAGCAAAAGGGTAGAGTTGGCCTTGAGAACGCCAAGTGGCTTCACAGCCAACGAGTCGCTTTTCAGTCTTTTTAGTGAAGAGCGAGTTTTTAAAACCAGGGTCCCTTGGCTTTATCAGGAGAAGAAAACCGGGAATGAGAGAAGGGCTCAGGCCAAACCGGGTTCTGCTGAGAGAGTTTGTGACGTGACGAATTTTTTTCTCCCCCTCTGAATTTCATCCCAAGTTATTGAGCTGCGTTGGAAGGAACCTTTTTGAGGCTGAAGTTGGACCAGTTCACTGCTACTTTCTGGCGAGTTTGCTTTGCTGAATCAAGGCAGAACCTATGAGAACCAAAGATAAAAAAAAACAAAAAAAAACAAGAAGTGAAAAAAAAAACTGGATTAGTGATACAAGTAAGGCTAAAACTGTCAGACAGGAACAGAGAAATCAGCAGATGTTCATCTAGAACAGCATCTATGGGTTTCTAGATGGATCAAAAACCGTATCTTCTTTTGATAACTTGAGTAAGAGCGACTAGTTCACCCAAACAACAACACTTTTCCATGTGGAATTGCTGACTGACTGAAGAAGACTCAAATGTAACTTTTACCAGAACCACTGAGATCTTCAAAATGAAGTTAGAAAATCACAAAAATGTATAGTGGTGTGAAAAATTTGTCTCCATCATGATTTCCTGTTTCTGCATGTCTGTCACACTTCAGCGTTTCATTAAATTAAGTTGTTAATTATTAAGGGATAAAAAAAATCAGAAAACCGTATGTCCCAGTGTGAAAAGTGACTCTTTAAATAGATAACAGGAAGGCTCAATATAGTAAGGCTCAATATAGTAAAACAGACATGTTGGAATTAATTCATTTACCTTTTGTTCAACGCACCACTGTTAATTTAAAATTAGGACAACCTTTTAGACATCCCCTACTTAAAGGTTTACAACCCCTTCACAATTTTTTTTGTAAATTTATTTAAGCTAACTCTGTCAATGGCTAATATAGAATAGTAAATGGCCTGTACTTGTGTTGTGATTTAGCTATTCCAGAGGACTCCAAAGCACTTTACACTACATTCAGTCAGGAAGAAAATCTATCTTCAACACTGTTCATTTATCATGCTGTTCCTTTTGTGAAGAAAAAAATGACAAAGGGCAAGAATTAGCATCAGCAGCTCAAAGCTTGATAAAACCCAAAGATTGGAATCCGAGCTCAAAATTCTGATTAGTGCATATATGGTTTGAACTAAAACACTTTTTTTTTAAACAGCTGTATTGTGATTACCTTTTAAAGTATTCAACTTCCCGATCAATCTCATCCATTTCTGTGGGATCCACATCTTTAGGGAGAAATACGTCATCTGAAGAAGTAAAGTAAAGATGCGACATTAGATGGGATGATCAAATCCAGTATAATGTGGTAAATATAAAGCTGTTACCCCCGTACCAATAGCACTGTTGGACTTTTCTCCCTTATTCTTGTTCTTCTTATTTTTCCCCTTGGTTTGTTGCTGTGGAGGTCCATTTGGAGGAATGGAGGTGGGAGCTTTGCTCTCTGATTCCTGCTCAGATCGACCTCCTCGGGTCTCCATGTCAGTTTTACCCCTTGGTGCACCCACAAGGCCGTTCGCTCCATTTGATACATGTTTGGACGACCTCCCCTCCTCAGTTTTCTTAGGCCCGTTCCTCTGGTTGTCTGCTGGTTGCTGAAGCTGTTTGCTCCCAGCCTTTGAGCCGTGAGACGCCGCGTCTTTAGACTCATTGGTTTTCTGTGCTTCGTTCCAAGAGGCAGCTTTGGTTGGTTTGCTAGAGTTTTGCTCCAATACTGACTGCTCCTGTTTTAGCTGCTGCTTTTTATTCTTCTTCGACTTTGCGCTGACGTTTCCAGCGCTCTTGGGATCAGGAGCATCCTCCTTTGATTTTGCCGTCGCTTGGGCTGGCACCTGTGGCAAACTGTCAGATCCAGCGGAAGTGCATCTTTCTGGGGACCGAACTCTAGCGAGCTTTGAGAGACCGCTTGTAGTGTGCAACCGCTGGGTGTCCTTTGAAGCAGCACTGACACCTGATGGGGTGTTGGCAGCAGCGTTGGGAGGAGAGGACATATTCGTGTCCTCCCATCCATTAACCAGGTCCAGGTGGCTCTTAAAGCTTCCCAGCGAGAGAGGAGAAAGGTCCAGGTCTATCTGCTGCAAGTCAGAGGAACCGTTGAGATGGGACAGCAGGTGGTTTCCCTCCAATGTAGCCGCCTTCTTGGGAAAGTCATTGACGTCCAGATTGAGGTCGTACATGCTGAACGAGGCCCGGATCGAGTCTTTGATGGTGTTCTTGATCTCTTCCAGTCGACTTGTGAGAAAACTGTTGACGCGCTCGAGTTCCAGCTGAGGCCAGTCAAGCAGCCGACTGGTTTCAGGCCCATCGGCGGTGGGATCGTCTACGGGCTCCTCAGCCACACCGGACTGGGGTTCACTGCCAGCAGAACCCGTGTTAACCTGCTGAGCTTTTTCCTGCATCACAAGAGGAACAAGTTCAGGAGCAAACTTAAGTAAAAACACATACACACAATTCAGAACTTCTTTAGAGATGTTTATATGCACTCATCTACAGGAATGTCATATTGATCCTGTTTTTTTGATTATTTATTGGACTTGTTTAATCTTGCGGTGGCATGATTAAACAACATCACGACTTGAAAACAAAATTGAGATGCACAAGTTTGAATTTATTGCAGGTTAAAACTATTAGTTATAATGTTCAAGAACAACACAAGGGCCAATGTGATTTCATTTTTTCACAAGTCTGAAGATGCTGGTTCACCAGTGTACATGTCCAGTCAAACATCAACATAGGTTGGAAACGACTTACTCAAAATGAAGCATCCGCTCCAAAGCAGACACCTTCAGGCTCAAATGCATTTTGCAGGTAAAGCTATATTGAGCACAATATTTATCTTTTTTTGGCCAAGACCACAAGAAGTATGTTTGGTGGAGTCAACTTAAGTATTATCAGTCCGAGGACCACTGTACCAGAAGTCAAGCATGGTTGAAGCTCATTAAAATGTCCTTGAAGTTCAATTTTATAATCTTATGCCCAGAACTGTTCCAAATCACAGTTTATTGTGTTTCTTACTATGACAAAATTAAACCTGAAGTTAAAAATAAGCTCACAATTGACTCAACCTTTTATTGCCACACAAAGATTTGAGCTTTAAGCTTTAAAGGAATCATATCTATATGTTTTGTTTAAAATTCACAGTTAAGTAAAATGATTTGTGAGAAGTTTAGCAACTTTTTCAAAGGTCAACACACCTTTTTCTTTTGTTTGTGTCGAGCCCTCTTGGCAGCCTTGGCACTGTTGACTGGTTTAGGCTCCGAGCTGTTTATGAAGTCCAGCAGCTCGTCCACGTCCCTGTTGTCGATGGCACCGACTGCGGTCAGCTCTGCATCCTGACGCTGAGGCAGCTCTTCTTTACGTCGCGTTAGACGTGAGCGAAGCTTCTCACGGATCTCAGCGTAGTTTCTGCTGGTTGGTGCAGCTGGAGGCTGTAAGACGTGAAGCACGTTTAAATATAACGCAGGTCTAGCAGAGCAAATGCTATATTTCTGTCTTAAAGAAAGGAAAAACAAATCTACCGCATTGTGTCCAAAGAACTCGCAGTAGCAGCAATCACAGTATTTCCCGTCCTTTTGATTGGTTGAAGAAGAGGCACAGGAGCTCCTCTCAGAGCTGCTGTCTTCATCCTCACCTTCTTCCAGCTCAGACGATGGGTGGCACAACGTGCCATTTGTCACTTTGTGCCCTTTACATGCCTGATCCCTGCAAAACACCCCCCCCAAAAGTACATTTTCACTTTCAATACATAAATACATAAATGTTCTAATTTCACAGAAGCAGAGACACCAGTTCTAACCTGCAGGCTCCAGCCGTCAGATGCCCTACATTTGAAGCGGCCACAGTTCCCGGGTTGTGTCCGTTACAAGAGTGGTTACAGCCCATTAGAGACGTTCCTAGTTTGCCGTGTTGTGTGTTTACTGCAGGAATGTGGGAATTTTTGCATGAACTGGGTTTATGAACCGATGTTGGACTGTCTGGACTTGGGGAGTTGAGTTTGGCTGTGGGGTTGTGTAGGTTTGGTACCAACGGGGAGAAAGACGTCTGGGCCGCCACCCCAGTGCCGCAGGACGAAGTGACGTGGCCGTGCTGTCCGGAGTTTGGCTTTGGGGGGAGGATGGAGGAATGCTGGGAGGAGAGACCGGTGGGACTGTTGGGCGGTACCGACAAGTCTGCATGTTGATGGTGGTCACTGGGATGAAAGGCTTCCCCTGGACAACAATTCAAATTAAAAATAAGCTCTGGGTTATATACAATGATTGACTGTAGGAATTACAAATGAGTGATTCCTGTATGCACAGGCCTTCAAACAAATTACATTACTGGGACACTTTTTATGTTTTTGCATGTCATATGTAACTTGGGAAGTCAAAATAGTGATAGGATTGCATTTGCTTAAGATAGTGGTAAATTAAACTCTGTTTTTTTATGGGTTTTTTTTAATAAAAAATACTTAATGTTTTTTATGTTAAAATAGATGCTGTACATTTAGTTAGTCACATGAAAATGATTAAATAAATTTTTTGGGGATACAAAGAAAAAACTGAACTCAAATTAGTGGCATAATGTAAAATATTCAGCTGGATGAAATTAAGCTTTCCACCATATTTGTTCCTAAGACAAATACAATTTCTTTTTTTTATTATTTATTTTACCAAAAGGTTGTTCCTGATCAGCAGATGTTCATTTAAGATAAAGAAAAAAACTTTCCATGCTACTTCCAGCATGGAAAGTAGCAAGTTAGTTGCTTACTAACTTGATCTTATTTGATCAAGTTAGAAAGCAACTGTACATTCTGATTGCTTTCATTCTAGAAAACACCAAGAGCTTTTTCTTTAAAGCCCTTTTAATTACCCTGTGCATGAATAAAGTCAGAAATTGAAAACTGGCAACAAAATATTTCATCGGTACGTTACTACTTTTAATAAGCCGACTGACCCAAACTAAGCAAAACAAAATACCTGGTGGCGTTGGTCGACGGCACATGGTCTTGAAGTGCTTGGGAGTGGTCTTACAGAGGTCTGCTGAGGTAGACTGGGAGTTCCCAGCAGAGGATCCACTGGAATTCTGGGATGACGGGTGACTGTAGGGACAGACTTTAGGACTAGAGGTTTTTGACGATTTTCCAGGTGCTTCGTGAAGCCCCCGTTTTTCGTGACAGGCTGTTAGCCCTGTAAACAGAAACATGTTTAAAATATCTCAGATGACAGAGGGCTTCATAGCTGTTCATTGCCATAGTTCACACCGATCAACACATAGAAACAGTAATAAGAATCGGGCCTTTTGGTGTAATTGAACAATCAATATCAGAAAGAAGCATGTAGAAGTCATTCAGGATTAGAGTTTGTTTTGTGAAATTGTCTCTTTTCTTTGAGGAGACATTTAACTATCCAACTATAACTAATTATTTTTGCACCTACGAAAAAACAACAAGCTGAAAAGTATTTTTTGACACTTTTCGGTCCAGCTTGCAAATCTCTTTGAGTTACATTTTAAAGTTTTGACAACTCAAAACTGATGTAGAAAGTCACTTCAGACTATTAGACATTGACATGTCTTGTTCCTTTCTTATTTATGTTGTTCCACTGGTGTTTATTCACTAAACAATTAAACCTTTCAAGAATGACACACGAGACTTCATGACGCATACAAGCATCATTTGACTACTTTCACTTTCCACTTTTAAGCCTCAATCTTACATTACCAATTCAAATTTTCTTTCCAGATCAGAGCTCCAGGAAGTCTGGTGCATTTAAGGTAAACTCTACAACAAAGACTCAATGAAGTCTTAAGTATTTTCAACCAATCTGAATAATAAACCAAACTTGATTGAATTGTGTGAAAACAAAGTATGCAGTTGACTTGAAATCTAATTGAATTGAACATAAAAACACTGAATGTAATTACATAATTTTTTTTCTATCTCTAGTCTTTTTTTTAATTTCATTAATTATATTTGTTCTATTCAACACTAATGTTTACTTTCTAGGAAACTACCTGCTCTACTCTTCATTGGTCAAAGTGTTTTGTGGCTTTTTAAGACTGTCGAAGTGAAAACATCTTTTTGCTGCCTACGTTTAACAAAACTCGTAAAATTCATAAACCAAGACAGGTCGCTGACCTTTCTTGTTTGAGCACAGCTTCACAGGTCTAGCAACTTTGCAAGTGAAAAAACATGGGTGCATTTTGGAGCTAAAATTGAAGTGTTGGTTTAGGCAACAAATGCAAAAAAATTTGTGTACTTATTTAAAACTCACATTGTGACTATGAATTGACGATAGGTCAGAACACAATAGTGGATGTCGTCAGTTCTGCAATACTATTAAGAGATATGTAGTTTGTTTTTGAGTAATTTACATTGTGCATTTAAGAAGTTGACTCTTTGGAATGACTTTTTATTTTTGAACATTTGAGAGGAGCAATAAACTGTTGGTTCTATTCCTTTCCAACCATTAAAATGTTAAAAATGATGAACAATAAATGATCTCGTCTATTTAAATGTTTCTCAGTTGTTGAACAAGTTTAAGACAGAGCAGCTTCTGCATCACTCTCTGATCAAATCATCACTGCCTGGCAGATTACTGACATTCTTTAAGTTTCAATACCAATTTAGGATAAACTAGGTTTAATTCAGCAATTAAACACAAAGATTTTTTCTCAACTGAAAATAAAAAAGTATCCAACATACCATTTGTCTGTGCCAGAGAACAGCATTTAATTTTTCAGGATTAGACCTGGCGATCACCAGTCACCAGATCAAGTCTATTTCATTCATTGGCTGATCAATAGTTGAGTCACTGCTTCATCTTCTTTATTTTCTTATGTTGGCACTATCATTCACTAATAACTCAGACGAAACACGCAGTAACTTTGGAGTTATGAATAAAAGCTTTAATTTAGATTCCTTTTTGGTTTAGCCAACCTTCTTTCTGCAAACATCATTTTACCTGCAATAATTCTGAGCCAAAACTTTGTTTTATCTCTCTTTTGGTGTAGCAAAGATGCCAGCCAACAAAACTAAATTCAGTTTCCTCTGAACAACAACATCAACTCAACATCTGGATCTTAAACCTGGAGATGCCTTCAGCCATCACGTGTGTGTGTGTGTCATTTGTTTCTTACCTTGTGATGACAGACCTTGTGAGTGCGAAGAAGTGTTGTGGTTGCAGTGCTCGCCGCCATTGGAGTGGGCTGAGTTCCAGAGACCTGACAGTTTGTGGGCCGACAGGAAGGAACTCGGGTCCCAGTCTACAGTACTTTGCTCTGGGTAACCGTTCCCACAGCTTTGGGACTTACAAGAGGAAGAGTGTGACAATGGTACCTAGTTTGAAAGAAATATACAAAACAGAACACCAATTAGGTACTCAGCTAGCCTTCTTTTATTAACTTCACTCTTGGCAGTAAAAGAACCTGACCGGAGAGTGAGATAAAAGTCAAACAGCTTAGAAATGCGTTAACCTATTTTAATGAGAAAAACAAACAGTAAAAAGACCACTTCTTGCTTCACTAACGTTTAACACATTTACAATTTGTAATGGAAATGCACAAGCTAGACTTTTTTCTGAGATACCATTATCTGTTTTTATTTAATGTCTGAGCTGCTAATTATGAGTTTGAGCAATTCCACCTTTAATTTTCTCAGGGCAAATAAAACAGAAAAAATGTGTTCCATGTTAGATGTTGTTTTGCATCTAACATGGATGCAACTAAAAGAAAAAAAACTTGATTATGCCCAATTATGCATCAATTAGTTAGCTGAAAAAAGGGCATTTAAGTGCATGCTGTTGTGTGATGCATTATGGACCAAAGAAAGGTGGAAGTTCTTAGTTTTAATGCATTCAACAATTAGGGAAAAAAAAAGTCAAATCAGATTTTTCAGAACCTGCATCCTCATATGAAGAGAATCAAAAACAGGTTCTCCCACACACATTAGAAATCAAAACAATCAAAACACATTGTCCGAATATAAGAAAGCAGGAGAAGAGTAAAACTTCGCCTGAGCCAAACCGTTTTATTTTGTTTTTTAATGTACCGATGAGGGCTGCTCCTGCGTGCTCCTTCTCTCCTCCTCCTCCACACTCTTGCAGCAGCTCTGACAGATCCACAGAGGCACCTCTCCCAGCAGGGACTGGGAAAGCGAGGGCACCGCGTCGGCCAGCTTTCGACCCGGCGCCTCCCGCAATAAGGCCTGGGAGAGTGCAGGCACCGCGTCGGCCAGCTTCGTCCCGTGGCCGGCGGGAAGCCCGTTGACAGAACCCGCTCCCCAGTCCTTGAATTCTCGATGGCACAGCAGGCAGCAGGTGTGCATGGGCTAGGTAGATCCAGACAGAAAGAAAGGGATTACTGTTTAACATCGAATGAACTGTGGAATTGAAGCCTGATTTTATGTAGCGCCATAATAAACTTGAACCAATTTCAAGCCAGGTGAATATAAATAGAAAACTTTGAAGCATCAGAAGAGTTGCTTGCTTTTTTTTTTTGGCCAAAGAATTACTACTGAGTCTTTGTTTGCTTTAATAAACAGACAGCCACCATTTTTCTTTTTCCTTCACATTTTGATATCACCATTTTGCTCTTTTAAAGCCTGCTATAAACAATAATAATCTAGATATCACTTGTAATGTTTGCATAAGACTCAGTTTGCTTGAAAACATCTCAAAAGATTTGAACCACAATTTAAAGGTGGCTATAAAATGTCAATTTTAAGTGCTATAACTGGCTTATTACTGAGCATAAATGAACATTGTGCTTAATAATGGCCCTACATTGTCACTCACTTGCCAAGTTAATTTTAAATTATATTGCTTAATATCAGAAGACAGACTTCAGGGGCTCTGCAGTGTGTAGGCTTTATAATCTGCACTAGCCAGCAATTTTAAATAATGCAAAGACAAAGTGATACTAGTAAGGAGCAAAGTCTTTTTTTTTTTTCATTTACGATTATTGGAAGGATGACTAAAAACAAAAATAACAGAAACACAACTGAGTACCTTTCTGATGTCATTATGATTTAAATCTAAGAATTGCGTGAAAAAAATAATGCTTACCCGTTAATATAGTTTTAACTTCGTTGATTACAACAAGTTATATCTGTGTTCAAGTAGTCTCAGATTTCAGAGCAGGGAGTCACACCTGAGTTACAGGGTTCTGGTTGCAAGAGGGAAAACTGAGGGATTTGCCTTTTCTTTTGGCATCAAGCCTATTTCTGTCAACTTCCTGTATTCAAACACTAAAGGAACATATTCGCAAATAGATATTTTACTCTGCTGCCCTGGTTTAATGAAACCCATACAAAAGTTCCCGTATTAATAAATCAAGTTTTCACCTCCCGAATAGATCATTAATATGGGTAACTGTTACTACATTTTGTGGGCATGCAAGTATTTACGATATTAAACTCAGAGTTTCTTCATCAGCTCCAGCTTTTCTGGTCGAGAGATTTACGTTAGGGATCATTCTGGTTATTTTCCTGACTCAGGACTTGAAAAATACAAATTCTGAGTACAATGCAAGAGGACAATTAATTCAACACATCGTTGTATGACTATATAATTGTTTACAGCTAGGTTATCTTACCTTCCGGAGCTACAGAACGCTGTACATTTTGTAATCATTATTTTTCAGCTGAGTTTATTGCTTCCCTGCAACATGGGAGTCATAGTTTAGTCACAGGAGATGAAACACGATTTCACAAGTAATAACTAAATCCTCTGCTGGAGCTGCTGATCACAGAACAATTAACCCAGCAAAAAACAGCAGTAAATACACAAAGGTAGGAATTAACTGGACATATGTGCCCTTTCAAGAACCTAAAACTTTTCAGAATTATCTTTTTGACTTTTTAAAACCTTTCAGAAACCCTCTTTAAACACTCTGCAGATTCATCAAGTTTCAGAATAATGTCACGGTTTTGATAAATTTGAATCATATGGTGCACATCGCTTTAGATGCTCAGTGCAAATGACGGTGTCATTAAGACATAACAAAATGATGCGTTTACAGTTAAAGTTTTCACCTCCCGAATAGATCATAAAAAACCAAGACACGACAAAAAAAAGAAGAAAATCATAACTGAGATTTGGCACAATAATTTTTAACCCGTTCTCTCCTGTAGCCCGACGGGATGCTAAGCTGTTAGCTTGTGCTTGCAGAGCGCTCCTGCACATAGGGATGAAGCACGTTTGCTGCACACTGACTAGCCTTGAGGCTAACGTTAGCTGGGCGGATGAAGAGTTGTAAAGGCTGGAAATGGGACGACCTGTGCGAGGTACAATGTCACCTGTCCGACACGGGAGATGGGCTGCAAAGCTCCCGGATCCTCCTCCATCCATTCAGCTTATTTGTTGACCTGTACATCCAACGCGATCCAGCTCCACATCCACGACAAGTACATCAAGTGTGAAATAGCTCTCAAGTACAGAGCGAATGCATTTAATTTCACCTCAGCGGTTCTCGTTAATTAAATTAAAAAAAAAGAACAGTGCGGTTCTGTTTGGATTAGCGGAGTGGAGAAGGAACACCGAGTAGTCTTTTACAAACGGGTTGCTTTTTTAGCTACCTGGTTCGCCCTGGTGTTGCCCAGCCTCTCCAACCCAGCATCTCCTCCGCCGCCACCGCCAGCTGCATCGCCGGGAGAGACAGAGCTCTTCGGTGCGGTCTGCTGTCCAGGCACAAGCTCCTTCTGGCCGACCCCTTGTTGCTTGCTTTTCTTCCTCGCCATTACTGTGGTGTTTGCGGGACGCTTTGGCCAAGTTTGCACCAGTTTCAATGTTTTTAACGAGCACACTTTCGTTTCTTCTCGGACCTCAAAATGTTCTCTATCTCCTCCAGTCAAGACAACAGTCAATATGGCGGAGGACTGGCACACTCGGGGGTTCAGAGGTTAAAGATACTACTGGCACGCAGGCTTCGCCTCCAACCGGTGAATTAATTTACAGCAACGTTCAGTTGGTGAAGCCAGAGATCGCCATGTTTAGGAAGGGCAAAATTATCTTTTTTTCCCTTTAGAGTATAATTGAAAACACAGCCCAAATTCCGAGAATTTCTTTAATTAGAACACATCGTTAATATATATTATAATAGCATACTTATCACAAGCATGTATACATTGTTAAGTCAGATTTAATATATGCAATTAAATATATGCAATTAAAGAATGTGCCAGCTAAAGCGATTAAGAGTTTTTTTTAACTTAAAAATACCCATAAACATGTTGCTTTAGATTATTATTTTATTATTATTATTGTTGTTGTTGTTCTTGTTGTTGTAGGAAACAGATTTATATGACAGATGTAAAGTTGTATGATTTCTGCATGTGAGAAATTTTAAAAATCAAACAAAAAAAACCATCAGTACTACCCCAATTACTGCCGTAAATGGGCGTGAAAATGCTTTAATTACGCTTGAGCAAATTAGAAACGAGCACACGTCTCTCACGGAGGGGAGTGGCTGGCTTGACCATGACGTTTTACGAGGCATCGCGACCCCTTCACGTGCTTTTGGAAATGGTAACATTTTCACTTTTGAATTTTAGCACACTTGAAATAATGAAGGGCCATTACATTGTTTTCATATTGAGAGCAGTCTATTAATCCAGTACCAGATTGTGATGGGCTAACTATTTTTTGTCAATAGCGTTCTGACAAGGCAGCCAAAAGAGCGGAATTTCCGAGATTTACGTCCAAGTCCTTGAAGGCGGCACTATTGTTGGCTCTCGGTGAACTGTGGACTTAGCTTGCACAGACAGTCCTTCTTTCATAGTGGATGCTCGTCTCGTTGTAGTTTGTTTACCTCCGCTTGTTTTACTCTTGCCAGCTCAATAATGGAAGGAAATGTTTGCAGCATTCAGGTTCTCCTTTGGGCAGCCGAGTTCGTGGAGAGGAAAGGCCGAGGTTCGTATTTTATGTCAACAGTCAGCCTCGGGGCAGGAGTTATTGTTGCTAATGGGGGGGGGGGAACAATATGCATTAGATAAGCTGTTATTAATACTTACGGGGTTAATGATACAGTAATCACAGTGTTTGCATTTTTTTTTTTTTTTTGAGATTGCACAGGAATTTCAAGCTAGATGGTTCCGTGGCCGATCTGTGCCGTTTGACTCAGTGACCTACATATCGGTGGCATCTTTGTATTGCAAGGCGCCAATCTCACCGAGTTTGAAAATGAATCCGGGGCGGGCGCTCATCAGCCCTGCTCGATGAATGAAAAGCCCGACTGGCCAGGAGAGCCACATTTATCGCGCATTCTGCAGACCCAGTCAGTGCTAGTTGAATTGTAGTAATAAACCTGAAAAGCCTCGGTTTGAATGTGACGGATGGCGCCAAAAAAGCAAATAAACGTTCAGCTGATGACTCCTCGGATTGTTTTCATCGCTTCACTCGAACGCTATTTCTGCTATAACACGTCCTTAACCAGAATCCAAGGACTATTAACATGTTTACAAAGACAAAAAACACCTTTATGACATTGCTACAGTCATTTTACCAGCGTCATAAACATTAACTCTCGCCTGTAATGGACTTCCTCCCCGTGCAGAGGCTGAACATGGATATGCTTCACCCCCGCCTCTCAGCCCCGGTAACCCGGATAAAAGAAGCAAACAGAAGAACAAGAAGATTCCTGCTGCTGGCGGTAAAAGGTGAATGCATTATGTAACAGATCAATGGCACTTGGCGTGTCTTTCAGTTCTGATAAGGAACCATAAGCCTTACCTATCAAAGTTGTTTCATCATTTTCTATGCATTTTTATAACATTAAGAAAAGTGTGTTTTTTTAATTCTAATTGCAGGACAGTTCACAATGAGCTGGAGAAAAACAGGTACTCGTGTTTTTTTTGTTTTGTTTTTTTAATTAAATTACATCAGAAATGTCTTTTTTTTTGTCTTGAGAAATATAATAGTACTTTTCCTTCGTTTTTAATTCCAACTTTTCTACATTTCGTCACATTGTCTCCGTGGAGTTTCCCCTGTGCAATGTCTGAAAACCTCAGAGGTTTTTGCAAATCACAGATCACATACAGACACATTTTCCTAATGAGTTGACTCCTTAAGGTTGTCATGGTGAAGTGGACTGTATGCAAATTCATGACAGACTTTACAATATTTGCAAAGTGAAACTGAAAACCACATGAATCTCTGTCCACTTCACAATCACATTGTGCGGGTCTATAGCATAGCTCCGTACCTTTGAAGGTTGTGGTCGTAATGTGACCACAGCACATTGGTATGAAAAAGTAACGTTGCTGACTGTTGTAATCTGCAGACGGGCTCAGCTGAGGCAGTGCCTGGAGCAGCTGAAGAAGCAGGTTCCTCTCTCTGCCGACTCCATGAGGAACACCACCCTGAACCTGCTGAGGCAAGCTCAGCTTCACATAAAGGTACTTCAGAAAGCCTCACGTTGACCTCTCCGACGACATTCCCTTCCTGTCTCTTTGCATCTTTGTTCGAACGTCTCGCTCCCCTTCGTCTGCGACGTTTCAGAAGCTGCAGGAGCAGGACGAGCGTGCTGAGCAGCTGAAGGACCGCCTTCGCTGGGAGCAGAGGGAGCTGCGGGTTCGGCTGAAGCAGCTCCAGAGGGGAGCGGAGAGGATGAGGAACAACAGCCAGGGGTCCACCATGTCCTCTGAGAGGTCGGACTCAGACAGAGGTCGGTGGATGACGGGCTCTCAACTGAAATCTGCTTTTGTCACACTTTGTTTTTACTGTTTTTGGCTTGAATTGAACTTTTAGAATGACGGAGGAACAAAAAGTCTACTAATAACGGGAGGGTTTTTTTTTTAAAACAGATCACATCATGCTGCCCCAGTTTTCAGCTCTTTCACCTTGAGTTTCCTCTCCTAATGGGTTTGATCTTTGCTGTTGTCCTCATTACAGAAGACGTGGAGGTGGATGTGGAAAGCATCGTGTTTGACTGCGTGGACTCCGACGGGCTGAGCATTACACACATGGACGCAGACCACAGTTACTCCAGCATGGACAGGTCCTGGCTATGACCACCATGACACAGGGTTTCAACCAGAGGGAGGGTCGGGAGGAAACATTCCAAAAACAAGACAACCGATGAGGGAGGATGTGGATATTGTAGACAACCGAACACTTGTTTTTACTGGACAGCTTTCTTTTGGGGGGGGTGGGAGGGGTGTCTTCTTTCAAAATAAGTTCAGGCTAATAATGTTTTCAATTGCACTGGGATGGATGTTACAGCATGAATAAGCGTTCCTCTGATAAATCAATTATGTATTTTTGTTCCCGAAAGCTATGAGGTGTGAACCTTTCTGTCATTTAGGAATCCAGTTTTTTTTTTATCTAAATAAGGGCTTTAATACAAATTTCCTTCATGTCTGTGCTGAATTCTGCCTTAAACCAGATTTAAACTAACGTTCTACGCTGCTTCTCCTTAGCACTAAGTCTATATTGCAGCAATGTCTCATTTATCATGCACTTAAAACATTATTTCTGTTTTGTTTTCCTTTTTTTTTTGTTCTGTCCAACGTAAGTTCCCTTCATGTATTTATAGCTCTTTTTCTTCTGTTGCACATAACGTCCACCCGTTGCACTTGTTTTGTCAGAAGGACGAGAGGTAGAGCAAGAAATGGGGGGGAAAAAAACCAACAACCAGGAAATGGGGGAAGGAAAAACAAAACCTCAGTCACGTTTGCACATTGAGGTTTCATATCAGCACGCATTTACATCTCTATTTAAAATAAAGACTTTTGACGCATTATGTGATCGGTCGGATCTCGAGAGAGTTCAAGTTGGGGAGGAGCGTTGGCCATCTTGAGTATTCAGTTGGACATTTGAAAATCAGTCAAAGCAGGCGACACCTATCTGCTATAATTATGCAATTAATGCTGATTACAAGTATTTAACATGGACTTAACTGAAGTTGCTTTCTTCTTCACTTTTCATATATGCAAGATGCCTTATTACTTTTAGTTCGTCTTTCCACCCAGTAATATTATGTAGCATTTTTTTTGTACCATTGTAAGCTTTCTTTCTTTTTTTAAGCAAATAAATATTTTCTATATAAATTTATGCATTTTTTTTAAACTATTCTGATGTATTCATACATTTATACTTTTTTCATATGAAAACTAAAAAAAAGTGTATTGCAGTGTGATTGTAAGAATTTTTTTCTACAAAACAAAACTAGTATACTGTGGTATTCTGCATTCGTATTTGGCCCCACTTAACTCTGATGCCACTTTAAATAAAGTTGTGGAGGAATTTAAAGGTGGGTTCACCTGTCCACAGGATGATTATTAGTTTTGCAATCCCGAAATCTGAATATTTGGCGTACTGTAGCTTTGTGCGTTTCATCCCAACCGGTCGTTTCTTACCCACTTCTGCTTTTAACTTTCTGTATTCATACTTTTAAATACAGAAAGTGTTTATATTGAGATGTTCTAATAACGCAGTGATAGTGCCAGAATCAAATGATTTAGATCAAAGCATACTAATGTTAGAACGGCTTTGTTAAAATCTAGATCTAATTCTAATCTAGAATCTGTGGTAAGACTAAAAAAACACTGCCGTTTTGCAAAGAATGAAAGTCATATTACAATTACACATTACTTTGTGTTGTGTTGCCATATGAAATTCCAATTAAATACAGCAAAAAACCATAATATGATTAGGAAATGTCAATTTATTGACCAGCTGATACTTCATTTAAGCAAGAATTGTCACAAGGACTACATGACTGTATACAGCGAGGTAACAAGTTAAAAGGAGGCTTCATCTACAGCTCTTGCACAGCAGCAGGAGAGATGCCAGGTGATGAGATGTTATCAAGCTTTTATCTCCCAACAATGTGAAGCTAGCAAACTTCAGCATTAACCAGTCTCAGTATCAGGACTAAAGTAGGACTGGGTAAACTGAACTAACACAAAACAATTGGGATCTCATAACATATATTAATCATAAAGAACTGATGTGATATTTTAAAGTAGTGCTCTATGTTGACAATAAAGAACATGGGGGGAAACAAAACAAGACGTGAAGTGAACTGGAATTTTTAAAAAAGGCAAATCCTGGTGGGTAGAGAGGCTGAGCAAAAGCCTAAGGAACACTTCAAGTATAGGTCGTCACCCTTACTTTTATGGCACCCGGGCCATGTTCAAGATCTCTATGGTAAATACTGAAATGACATGACACCAGAGGTACAATAAACACAATCAGAGCGGGTGGAGCAGGCTCTTGAACCCAGCTCAGGCCTTTTCACCACCACTTTCAGCAGGATGTGTCCTCACAGAGGTGTTTTTAAACCAACACTGGGATGCATTGCAAAATGCCCAGTAACTGCATGAGCTATGAGAGTGGTTACATGTAAAATAGTCACAATATAAAAGGCTGCAGCTGCATCATCATACGTATTGTTTCTTCTGAGCATGCGAGGCGAGGTCCTTGGCTTTCTCTTTAGCTGCCAGTGCTTTCTCTCTTGCCCGCTCTGTAGCGGTCTCTGCCAAGGTTCTGGACGGAGTTTCGCCTACGGAAACACAAAGCATGGCTTTAAATGGAACACATCGACATTCTCATGCTCAGGATGTAGAGGTGAAGGTTAAGCTGATGTGAAAAACAAAACTGGTAGGTTTTAGAAACAGACACTTTTTCACAGCAATGTATATTATGTCAAGATTACAATATCAAAATGTCCCATGTTTCACAAACAGAATCAATTTTATTCAAATCCATGTAGTCATCAAAAAGAAATACAGAGAAAAAGTCTCACAGCCGATCAGCAGCACGCTTCTGCTAACTATGTGTGCATAGATATGAGTTTCTGAAAAGGCAGACTAGCATTAACTTGCTTCCTGTTCGTATTATTCTGACTCAGAGAATTTGATGTGTCAGCATTCTGAGAAATGTAATTACATTTACATTTTAGAAACGTAAAAGACATTTCAAAACATTTTAGAAATGTTTTTCACATTTCAAAACAAAACATTAGCTGTTATTTTCTGTCATTCTTGGTCAACAAAAACTGGTTTGAGATGACAAACTGTATCTGCAACAATTAATGTAATGCCACCCCTCCAAATACATGCTTGTAAATATGAATGAACTACATGAACCTGGAAGGTTTACTATAAATCTAGTAATCTGGAAAAAAAAAACTCTTCAAATGACAATGTACCTTGCATTCTGGAGAGCACATACTCAAAGCCTTTCATTGTCTTTGTGACGCTGTTCTTGAACCTTGCCAGACCAAATTCCTGAAAAATGAACAAACTCAGTAAAGGGAAAAGACAGTGTACTTAAGTAAACCCAGCAGCAATGAGAAACTACTTGGACTAACTGCTCAGCTGTTACATCTTAACACTGGCATTGTGTTGTTTATAATGCCAGAACAGTACAGAAAACAGGTGGGGAGGTCTCCCCATCCGCCACTCCATGCTGCTTTCTGTGCTGTAGTACCACTTTCCACTTTGCTCTACTGACCTGAATAGCTCTAGAAAGCCCATAGAGACTGGAAGAGATCCAGGCTTCCCGTTTAATTTCCGTCCAGTAGCCGTTATCTGGATTGATTTGGTATAAACAGCGCTCCTCCACAGACTGGCATAGCATGCAGGAAAAAAAAAACAAAAAAACATCACAATTATGTTTTGACTTTGAGCAAAAGCCAAGTTCTGCTGGATGAAAACCGGAGCGTACCATGAGGCGAGCGTGGCTGATGTTCCAGGTCAGAGTGGTCATGGTCCGTTTCTGAGGATCTACAACGGAGTCCTCGATGATGTACGCCGAGTTGGTCATGTGCTTTGGGAGGTACCGCTCCATCCAGCGAGGTGCACGGCTGGTTTTGGTCAACAGACGTCTGGAAATGAGGCAGTTGGACGGAGTAACTTCTCTGAAGATGATGTCTTCCGTCAAGACATGGTTACTGAAATCAAAGGGATCAATAAAATAGTTTAAAAAATCAGGTTTTATTTGCAATATATTTGTTTTTGAACAACTTTAAATTCTCAAAGTAACAAATTAGTGTTGTATTTTGTTTTATGGATTTAATTTCTGTGTTGACTACTAACAGTAAACCTAAAATCCTAGATCAGTAAATCAAACTTAGGTCAGCAAAATGTCCCTCTTCCTCAACAAGGACTTCACAGAATTCAGGAAACACAGCTCAGTTTTCTGCTTCTCCTCACGACATCAGTAATACTTTAGTGTCTGTGGATATTTGTGGTAAATAGCAACTGTTTACTTCTATAGCAACGCTCTATTTGATTGCTATGAGGTAATCTTATCAAGTTGAGATTACCGCAACTTGATAATCTCTATTTATCAAGTTGAGATTGATAAATCTAAACCCTGGCTGCATCAAAATTGCCAAGTCTTTACCGGTCTGTGGTAACAAAAGGTTTGGGGATCACTGCCTTACATGGCTACCAGCAAACTGAACTTTATCTGTCGATAACAAACTGAAAAGTGTTTGGGGAAGGAGTCAAAGCTCGGAATATTTTACAACCTCAACATATCCATCTGCCTTCAGATGGATTCTGAAGGCAGAATAAAGGAGACTGAATACTTGGATCAAATTTCAGTTTTCTTTGCAAAAGAACAAAAAAAGATGCATAATTTTTCTCCTAGTTTACAATTGTGCATAACTGTGTTAGTGCATAGCAGCTAATCACAATAAATAGATAGGTTTATAGTGACAAAGTAGCAAAATGTGGAAACATTGAAGGTGTATGAAGAACTTTTACATAATATGCAACTTTTGCAAGTATGCATATTATGTAATGCGATTCTAATTATTAATAAAGTGCTTTTGTAGTTATGTAAGAAAAGTTATCATGTCCCACTTTGTTTCCTCGTGTGACAGGTGCATGTTATAGTGCAAGCTCACTTTTTAGTAATGTTACTTTGATCATTTCAAAGTCTGTGTATCATCAGAAAATTCCCATAATGCATTTCTCAGCTTGGCATGATACCCCCTTATGGTTTCAAATGGCCAATAATTGATGTTTTATAACAAAAAAATAAGGTTGTAGGTACACTATAGTTATGTGTATACTTATAAGAGTGTTTGTACATCAAGTAATTCATTAACATTAACAAACTTCTGCAGTATGCCAATGTAAAGACCAATTTCACCAGCACAATTTCATACAGTATAGTTAATACTCGTGCACTTTTACACCGAGATATTTTTTCTCACCTGTAAGGATTGGGATAACGTTGCCAGAAAGCAATGCAAACTTGGTCCCAGGTGTTTTTCAGCAAACCCGTACAGCAAACGTATTTCCCCATTGTTCCCTTGGTTTACTCTGGCAGTACTCTGTGGAACTACAGCACAAAAAAATGAAAGTCACTCACAATCAGATAAAGCAGAAGTAGAGTCAGGTTGACAGTAATCATATTTGTAGCTCATTCTGCTGCCGTCTCCGGGTTTAAATGACTGCTGCGACTAAGCAGGATTTAAGTCCATGCATGCAAAAGTCAGTCATGACTGTACGGACATTTTTCATTCATATTTTGTAGAATAATGGTAAAACGTGGCTAAAACCCACATAAAAACCTAGCAAGCTATAAAATAGCACAGTGGGCCATTTTTACTGACGGCTTCATGATCTATTTGCAGTTTAAATAAGGTCTTCGTATATTTAAAAAAAAAAAACAGAAAAAAAAAACCTGAGGTCAACGTTTCTGTCACATTCGTCACGTCCACACTACCGAGCTTCCTGGGTGGCAGGAGCTAGCCTAGCATGCGGCTAACCTCGTGAATGAATGGCTCTCTCGGTGTTCGGTCACATAGCAACACTCAGAAGGAAGGGCTCGACACAAACGAAATGAACACTGACCTGCACAGTGGCGATATTCAAAAGATCAGAACGGACGTTTCATTATTCGTGAGGAGCAAAGTCCACGTACATCAGATGCCAAACGTCACCGGGCCGAGAAGAAGGTCAAACGTTGAGCGTTGACGGAACATCCGGCGGGAGGCGCTGATGATGCTTGTTTTGGCCACTAGGTGGCAGCAGAGATCCTCCGCTGAATGTTTCAGAGTTGACAGCTGCAGTTTCTTCCTGCCCAATTAAAAAGTCACTCCTAATAAGTTCTCAACTCAAACTCTCATTTTCTGTTGTGTTTGTGACCGACATCACGAAATAGACTATATAGAAATACTGTACATTTTAAAGAAGAGATTTTGTTTTTCTTCTTAAAGGCTTAAAGTCTGAAATAAATAATACTAATATGCTTAAACCAGGAAATCTGCAATGTGGGAGTTGGGAACCAGTAAGGCCATAGCTATTCTCTTTGACCTACAATGCATAAGAAAATGTGTGGCTCACACTATTAATTTTTATTAAAGCTTTATTGGATTTACTCAATCCTTTTTTATAAATCCAGATGTACTTTACTTCCACACATACACAACCAATCTCTTTATTTGACACAGAGGAGCGAACAATAAGTTGTCTTTATAGAAACAGCAGCTGTAATGTATCAGGTCGTGGCTTGAAACCTTTTTCCAGAGACCTCATTGTTGATTCATGTCCCCACATTTATTAAATACGATCAACAGAAAGGTCACTTTAGCAGCAACGTAACAAACACAGAATCGCATGTTCTTTTCACATCCCCTTGAACAAGTTTCTGTAATGAAGACGTCAACAGTGTGCTGCCCTGGCGTCACACAGGTCACTGATTTCCAGTCCCATTCTTCTGGACACGGAGTCCCCCTGCTCCGTCTAATCAAGAACAGCTGGTTCTTGATTAGAACAATTAACTTTGATTTTTCCAGATTAGAGGATTTGAATGGATGATAAAAACAATTACCGAAGTATCATGAGAAGCCTACATTCACTGTCACATAAGTCTCTGCTTTCTCTATAGAAAATGTACTGCGAAGTTGAACATTATTCAGCAACAAGAATTTTGTACATACAGTGGAACATGTTTACATAAGACATAGGTAAACATTGTCGATACATGTTTGAATAAATTAGATATGTACTTTATAAGTACCACTCACAATTCAACAAGGAGCCTTATAAAGAGATCTATAAAGTGATACTAAAGAGGGCCCACAAAGTATTGGGCCCTCTTTAGTGACCAATGCCTTGTGTCAACCATTGTCTCTATGCAGAGGACGGGTCATTATCTCTTGTTCCTTCTTGTTTAATTTAAGACACTGTTAGCAGCAGCAACACCTCAGCAGTTGAGTATTGACCAGAAGTAAGTGACCCATATGTACTTAAGGTACCTGTACTTTGAACTTTTGTGGACAAATGATTTTCAAGGTTTTTGAAAACCAACAAGGAGCTGAAAGCTTCAGGATAATTCAGTTGTTTTATGTCAAAAGGCTTCTTGAGAAATATACACCCCTTAAAGCAGAGGTCTAGTTAATGTGCTAAATTTCTGCTTTTAAACGAGACAAATCTCATACAGCAGTTGGAGGGTGTCTGCTGTTACGACCGTTCAGAGTGTGCCCTCTTACAGAGCGTGTCCTGAACGACCCATCTGGGTGGAAAGTATCTGCCTTGTCCTCGCAACGGAACACCATTATGAAGCCATTCCTGTAGTTTTTATTCATCCATCCATAAAGGAGAGGGTTGGTGAAGGTAGGGCACATAGCCACAATGTGAAACACCGTGAAGATGAGCTTATACTCCTCAAACCGGAGCACCAAGTCCAGGTCAGTAGCCAACTGGAGCACATGTAAAGGCAGCCAACTGGTTGCAAATACCACTACTACCAGCGCCAGCATCTTTGTGGTTTTCTTGCGTCGGTTGATGCTGTCGTTACGGCTGGATGGACTGACATGGTTTTTCAGTTTGACCCAAATGCATATGTATGCATAACTGATGATTGCTAAAGGAAGAATGTACAATAGCAGGATCATTGAGAGACTGTATATGACTCCATCCCTGTTGATGCCATGGGGCCACTTCTCAGAGCAGACAGGCATGCGCAAATTGATAGGAGGAATCTCTTCATAGCGATATTCCCTGAAGATGGCAAGAGGAGCTGCCAGGACAGAAGAAATAGTCCAGGTGAATGCCATGATGAAGAGGCTGGAATGCCATGTTAGCCGTTGACCAAGATGGAAAACAATACAGCGGTAACGCTCCAGAGCTATGACAGTCAGGGTCAGGATGGACACATGAACACTTAGAGCTTGGGCAAACGGGACCATGTGGCACAACACGGCACCAAACTTCCATTCATCCAGCAGAGTGTAAATCAGAGTAAAGGGCAGACACAGAGTGACCATCAGAAGGTCTGCCAAGGCCAGGTTGGCTATGAAGTAGTTGGTCACTGTCCGCATGTTCCTGTAGCGAATAATCATGTAGATGACGAGGGAATTGCCCAGCAGTCCCAGCAGGATTATTAAGGAATAAGCCATTATAAGAGTGATTTGGACTCCAAGGTGTTTGGTGATATCAGAGCTAAAACCGGGCTGGAATGAATCAAAGCTGCCGTTGAACAAAAACGACAGATCACTTTCGCTAGGCTCCCCTTCTGCTGAGGTGTTGGATGTGTCAAGGGGGCTCATTTTTACTGGAAGGTCCACAATACTGAGGCTGCACCAACACCTGAGCAGAGAAAAGAGAAAACAAAACAGCTTGACACAAAATTAATAGAACATTACTTTCAGACAGAACATAGCTTTGTTGGATATTCTGGAGAAGTAAGGAGCAGAATGTAATAAGCCTACTCCTTTTCAAACAGAATAGGAGCAATTAAGTTTAGTCGATTTAGGGGCAAGTGCAGGAGCCTCCATGCGAGTCTTGACCAGAAACAAGTGATGAAAGCTAATCTAGATGTAGATGAAAGCTAATTTACATTGACAAGCACTACCAAATCTCGAGGTTATTCGATTAGCTGGCCAGACTGTCTAATGGACAGGTAGAACCGCAAACTCTGGTAAAACTGAGGTTCCCAGCTGGATACTAACTCGGACTAGGACATCACCAGCTTGGATTTACCAAAACTGTCAAGGCCGTCTCTACTTTTAATTCAATATTGTGTGAGTAAAAATGGCAAATTTGAACAGCATCTGTTGTCTTCTCTGGATTCATGGCTTTTCTTCTTTTTATGGCGCTTTTAAAAGAAAACTAAGAGTGTGCAATACCGCCACCATCTGGTCTGGAGTGTGAACTGGAGCTAATGCCGTTCATGAACAGATCTTACCTCATACATTTGAAAATGGATTGGGTAAAGACAACTTCCGTGTTTTAGTTAAAAAACTGATAACAACAGATCATACTCGGAGAGATGGAGAACTGAAGATACCCGCTACATTTAGTGTTAAGGACAAGTATTGTGTCTGTTGTAGAACCGCTGTCACTAAACTGTCAGTGTTTGATATTTTGAAATATGAATGTTGTTAATCGACATTACATCCAGTTCCACTATAAGGACAGTTACTTTTTATTCTTTAATATTTTGACAAACATAGTAAAAGACTATGAAGGCACCTAAAACGGCATACTTTATTAGCCTAAAGCAGGAGTGCTCGATATGTCTATCGCGATCTACCGGTCGATCGCGATCTACCGGTCGATCGCGATCTACCGGTCGATCGCGATCTACAGGTCGATCGCGATCTACAAGTCGATCGCGATCTACAAGTCGATCGCGATCTACAAGTCGATCGCGGGCACGTTTTGAGTCGATCTCGGCAGCAGGTGACAAACTGAAGGCTTCCAGGAAGCTGAGAGCAGCACTTCCTCTTCTGACAGGCTTATCAAAAATATTCACTAAGATCCAAAACGTTTGTGGGTTCATTACATAATAATAAAGCCTTGAAACCTGATATCGTAACGGACTGAACGTTTTTTAACGTAATCTTTGCTCGGCTTGCGGGGCGCAGGCGGTTGCCACGGCAACGGGTGTGCTTAACGATAAAGAGAGAAAGAGAGTTAAAAAGTGAGAGTGGTTCTGAGTTGATCACCTGTTCGGGTTATTTTACCTTTGTTGTCCTTCGCTGTGGTTCATCACAGCCGCTGGAGTTTCTGAACGTTCAATAAACGACAAACTTGGACTAATCACCTCGTTCGTTTACGGTAAACGTCACAACCAACATCAAATAGGACACATATATTTGATTAAGTTTTAACAAACAAATGGCTTCTACCACAATAATTGTGTCAAATTACATTAATTATATCCCAAGTTCAGAAGATTTGTCTGTACCTCTGCAGAGCTCTTTGGTTCCTCCTATCAGTCTGCAGTTTCGCCTAGTGACGTCATCAAACCAAATTTCGGACATACCGTAACTGACTGACACCTGCTGGCCTCAGGTTTGCAACCAGCTTCTGACTGAGAAACCAGTAACCTGCTCCCAGTGTCAGAATCTCACTGGGGAAGAAACTGCATTAGGTTTTCTATCACTTTATCATTTCTGATATAACTGATGTATAGTATATTTGCATAGAAAATTAGTCAATAGAGTTTAATTTATAATTTGTATGTCTTCATGCCATGAGGTAGATCTCAGCCGGCTGGTGAGAGAAAAAGTAAATTTTGGTCTCAAAAAGTTTGAGCACCCCTGGCCTAAAGTGTACACTGAGATGTAATTTAAAACATACTGAAATTAATCATTTAAAGTAAGTGTTAAGTGAAATTTTAAAAATTCTACTTTGAGCATTTTAAAACATATGCACATTTAAATATCTGTAAAACATATATTTTAAAGATATTTGAAATATCTTTAAAATATTTGACGTTTGACCAAATACATATTTTGTTCACTTAAAGTTTATTTAATATATTTCTTAAAAGTGTTTTTTGGTATAATTATATTTAAGTATGTTTAAAGTTATCATGTCAGAATTAATGGAAGCATACTTTTAGTATACTTTGTAAATATTTATATTGATAGGAAGTAGCCTTAATACTTAGCTTAAAATGTGCTTACTTAACAATAACTTCTGTCAGCCCCCCAATCCCTTATTGATTAGTGAAATATGACAATACATGGGTTATGATCATGTGTATCATCCATCCTAATATTCATGGGTCAGCAACTTAATAGATCCCCAGTGTGGAGGCATTGGGGATGAGGCTAAGCAGAGAAACCATTACTGGATTTTCATCTTGTTAACATGGTTCATTTTGTGAGGAAACAGGGGATAATTTTAGTTCAGGTAACTGCAATGATGATAAAGTATTCTTTTTTTTTGTCTTTTTTTTATTCTGTGTTTGATTATTGTTCTTCTTCACGAATGTGTTGTTTATATGTTCAAAATATATATTTCATTTGTTTGTTTGTTCATTCTTAATTTCTTCACCCATTCAGTAAATGAGAGCAAGAAGTAAGGGAATAAACTCAAGCTGCTTCAGAAGTGTCTGATTCAAAATTCTCAAGACCTGTGATCTGTATTTTTTGTGTGTGCAGGCACAGTGGGATCTGCATCAGTCATTTGCTCCTGCATAGAGGGGCGACATGTACCAACCTTCACATATTCTCCAGAACAACAACTCCCAGTGGGGCTCCTGAGTGCTGTTGGGAGGATTTGGCTGTCAAATCCTGCCACCTAACCATGCAGACTTTTAGCTGGGAGTCGGCACGTACTTGGCTGAAAGTTGGTTCTGTGACCCCTTTTTTTATATGTGCAACACCTTTTATTTGTTCCCATTCATCTCTGTCAAAAGCGACTCTGTCATTTATAGAAATGAGCGCTGGCTGCATGAAAGCAAAAAGATAGTATTGGTGATGTATCTTAAAACTACGCTATTTGTTTCCGATGTCATGTCCTCCTCAGTATGAGAGCTTCTTATGAAACAAGAATGAAGCAGTATGTTATTTTTACCGGGCTTCAGCCTCCATAAAAAATGTCACCACCATAAAGACAACTATTATTTAAAGCTAGAGAGTAAGGACTCAGTGGATTTTTGCAGATAAGATGATTCTCTAATGCGCGCAGTCTCATCATTCACATAATCTTCCCTGATTGCAGGGAGAAAGGTGGATGTTACAAAAAGCTAAGAAAAGGAAAAATGAGCCGCAGTCACAGAGAGAAATTAATAGAAAATTAGCTTTCCTGGAACAGAAGTAGAAATTCCAACAACAAAAAAAAGCACTAAATAGTGTCAATCATGAGACAACATCTTTCCTCATGTTCTATGTGTTGCTTGCCTGTTTATTTACAGCATGCTTTCTTTTGTTTCCTTAGGAACACCTGTTTGTCAATTGACACGAAAGGAGACGATGAAAGATGCAACGAGGGGTAGTCAGTGAGCTCAAAGCTCAATCATTAGAGCTGCAGAATGTGTGCCTACACAGCTTGCAGCTCATATTGAAGAGAGCAAATGATGGTCTAATATTACGGAAAAATAAATCCAATTCAAACATCTTGTTTTTCCTGTTAATTTACACATGCAGGCAAAGTGCTGCTGCTGCATACAGGTATATATTCAATTATTGCTACTGGTGGGTTAGACTGTCAACTAATGGTTTGCCAGATTAATCCTAATGTTGTTGTTTGTCATGTAATGTAAGAAAAGGTTTTTGATTAATAAATACAGAAACTCCATATTAGAGTTAAACTATCAGACTTTATTAGCACAGGAATCTTGGAGAATTGTTTTCAGCGTCTACTTCAATCTATTTGTCACAGTTTTCTGTAAAAATGTTCAAGCATGCTTAAGAAATAGTTCATCATCAGAAGATGAATAAAATCTATTTCAACACCCAAACAAATGAAAGAGATTTGTGAAGAGGACCGGCATGAACTGGACCGGTGAGATTTCATAATCAAAGATCTTCCTTTTTCATTTTAAGGAAAGGTGTTACGAAGACCTCATGTTCTGGACGATGCTTTCCATTAGGATGACTATCAAGTCTCAGTGAGGTTCGGTCTGCTGAATCAGTCCTTACTAACCCACTCATGCACCTGCAGTACAGCCAGATACCATCTCCATCATTGCAGCCAACAATAAGGGAAAGACACAATGAAATTAGTTTCTTTTATTTTACTAATTTTCAGTGAAAAACTGTTTAACTGTTCAGGTAAACTAGAAGTAGACGGCAGGTGCCCCTGCTGTACTGACTCATGTAATGTCATGTGGGCAAAATATGGGATGTATTTAATCATAAAAAAAACTCAAACAGAAATTTAATGAACCTGAAATATATGAGGAGAAAAAACACATAAGGCTCAGCCCCTTCCTAATCACATGCTATAAAATTTATGCTGAAATTGGTTTTCTGAGATTATGTTCACCATCCCAGGTGATCATGCCCATTAATGTGCCTCCTAATATCATGATCCAAACACACAAAAAGCAAGTTTTAGCCGATTTTGTCCTTCTAAAACGACATATTTATGCTCATTATCTGAAATTTTGTCATACAATTCCAGACTCCTTTCTCAGTTGTATTTCAAATGTATTGTGCAAATGAGTTTGAGAGCTGTTACAGCACTCATAGAATATTTCGAGTTTTGATTCTTGGAGGAAGAACTGAGAAAAAAAAAACAGGCATAATTTATTGAAGTCTTTTCTTATTCTCTTTGATTGGTCTGTCAATGCAGGCTTCAAGTCTCCAGAAGAACCATGTTTACTGGATTTCTTTTTTCATCCAACTTTCAAAGTTTGTATGTGATATTTGCAGCACAGGCAGAAACATGATACTTGTGTTCCCAGCTGATTGAAAGATAAGAGTTTATCTTTTATCTTTATAAACTAAGGCTGTCTCCATTTATAAAGTTTTCATTTTCTGTCTCTCCTTGACTGTTTAAAGTAGTGTTGATCCATTCAATGTTTGTGAAATAGCTTAAAGATTTACTGGAAAAGCTATACAGCAAATCAGAAAATGTGCCTGTCGTCAAGCAGGACCCTCCAGCCACCAAAGCGCAAAAATGCCCAAGAGCAAATGGATGTGATTTATCTGCGTTCAGGCAACATTTTCACAGTAATTAAAAACACACACACACACACACACAAAAAGGACTTTCTATAATTTCTTATCCTACGAGTTATTATGATTTAGATTTTTTTACGATGCACCTGCTGAAGCAGCGATCCAGCTCGCATCAATGGCGAGTTACTATTTTAATAACCCAGTTCAATTATGCATTGACGCGCAATTTGTGGCCATTTGTTTCACTTTCTCACTCTTTAAATATGTCTTTCGCAGCTTCCAAGGCTCATTTAACCCTCCAAAACATATGCAAATTACTCTAATTGTCTCACATCATTTGGACTCTTCGTCGTCTTGCTTTGCAAAGGCTTCTTCACATCCAAATTACGCACATGTGACAGTTTCAGTTGCAGGTTGCGCCCGCGTCAGAAGAACAGAACAAAACACACATCCAGCGCCTCCCTGGTGCACTTGGACACATATCGAGCCCCGCACGGTCCATTTACGGTCTACACGCATATCAATCGCGTCTTGATGGACTCACCTTTCGCCGCAATATCTACTTTGGGAAACGAGTCTTCACTCAAGAGTGGCGTGGAACAAGTGGCGTGAGATTCCGGAAGCTCCTCCCTGCCTGGCGTGCGCATCTTGTGGATCCGCTGAGCGCTCCCGAGTCAGGTCCAGCGGCAGGAGTGAGGCGCCAGCATCTGTGCCAGGAACGGTCCGCTGGAGATCTGCGCAACGGCCGAGGCGCCTCTCTCTCATCTTCGTTTTTATTGTGTAAACGAACATCCCAAAGTTTATTGCCTCCGAGGCTCTGGTGCACAGTGGGGACGCATCTCTGACACGAACATGTCGTTATGTCATTTCAGTTTATGGTCCTCATCGTTCTGCAGTCTGATCTCAGACGAACAGTGTTCAAGTTGATGCAGTCGTTTATTTTCCACGATTGGGATCAAGTTAGTTTAGAGGAACAAGGCCAGGGTAGATTGATTTCCCCTGGAAATAATCACGAACTCCTTTCTGTGAGCTCCATGACAACCTGGAAACGATGAAAGCTGTTGGACAATGTTTTTGGTGTCAACTGCAGACATAAACATACAGGGGCTTCATCAAGGCGGCAGGTCAATAAATGAAGATTTGAGGCTCAGAGCTGCAGACATGCTATTTGAATATGGCCTGTTTTATTAATCTGAAGGACTGTAAATGCATTTTGAATGGGTGTCTCAGTCTCTAGAGGACGATTTGTCATTTCAGTGTGACATTCAATGTCTTCCAAAAGCCTTCATACACTTGAAATGGTTTCGCAGTTGGTTACGTTACAACCACAAATTTCAGTGTATTTCATTGGGAGATTTTGTGATGGAACTTCATCAAATGAACCAAAAGTGC